ATCTCGGCGAACTGTTGTGCGCGTGGAACGGGATTGTCGGGGTTTGGTGTCATGGGTACTGTTGGGTTCTGTCCGTAATTCAAGTAGAATGGCGACTGTTGGGTCGTGGCAGATGGCGCGTTGTTATGTGCGAACTCGATGAGAGGCAGCTGCTGCTCCCACGTGTTTGGATCGTCACACGTGGCTCGAATGAGTTGCTCCATAGTCTGGTTTGTCCATTCTGTCTGTCCGTCGGTTTCGGGGTGATACGATGAACTGAATTGAAGTCGCGTGCCGAACTGCTGCCACAGGTTCCGCCAGAAATTACTGGTAAACTTCGTGTCCCTGTCGCTGATGATTGACGCTGGTATCCCGTGCAGTCGAACGACGGTGGCGATGAAGAGTCGGGCTGTTTCCTCGGCTGTGATTGATTTCCTGCATGCTGCGAAATGTGCCATTTTCGTTAGTCGATCGACGACGACCAGGATCGCGTCATTCCCACTCGCCTCGGCCGGTAACCCCGTGACGAAGTCCGTCGTCACCTGCTGCCAAGCACGCTCTGGAGGTGGGATTGGTTGTAATTGTCCTGCCGGCCGCTTCCTGGTTGACTTCATGAGTTGGCAAGTGGGACACGATGCCACGTGTCGTTGCACGTCGGTCAACATTTCCGGCCAGTAATAGTACCGCTGCAGCTGCTGCCGTGTTTTTTCTACTCCGAAATGTCCCGAGGTAACTCCGTCGTGTGCCTCCTGTAACAGTAGTTCCCTTAGTAGCGTGTACCCTGGTACCCAGATGCGGTCGGATCCAGCTTTTACGTAATAGGCTCCCTTGGCTGCTGCGAATTGCTGTGAATTTCCTCCTGTGAAAAATGGGTCTGTTTGATATCCGTGGGTAAATAGTCCTGTCAGTAACGGGCTGGTCTGGGCGAGTAGTATCGCATGTATTTGGGCAGTGGGGCGGGTCAGTGCGTCGGCGATATTCGAGGCTCCTTTTTTATATGTGACCGTATAGTGGAAATTCGATTCGAGGAAGTCGAGCCACCGAATCTGTCGTAGGTTGAGGTGGGGCTGTGCGCGAAGGTACTGTAGGGATCGATGGTCTGTCCGTACTGTCACGTCTGCGCCGGTCAAGTAGCAACGCCACACTTTGAATGCATGCACGATCGCGAGCATTTCGCGGTCGTGTATCGGGTAATTTCGCTCAGGTGGATGTAGCTTGCGTGATTCGTAGGCGATGGGTTGGAGGCCGTTGCCGAAGTCCTGTAACAGTACGGCTCCGATGGCGATGTCACTCGCGTCTGTAACAACTTCGAAGGGGCGGTGTGGGTCAGCGATGCGTAGGACGGGTGGTGAACAGAGAACATTTTTCAGGGCAGAGAAGGCAGCATGCTCTTTCTCCCCCCACGTAAAAGGGACCCCCTTACGCAGTAAATCAGTGAGCGGGGCTGTTTAGCGTGCCATGTCGGGGACGAACCAACGAACGTAATTAACAAACCCTAAAAAACTCTGTAGTTCCGTGATGTTCGTCGGGGGATGCCACGCTTTTACGGTATCCAGCTTCTTAGGGTCTATCTCAATCCCAGCCTCCGAAATGACGTGACCTAAAAACTCTAGCCTGTCCCGAAAAAACTCGCACTTGGAGCCCTTGGTGAGTAACCGATGTGCCTCTAAAATTTTAAAAACTGCTTCGAGATCTACTAAGTGCTGCTGCTGGTCCCGACTGTAAACGAGGATGTCGTCGAGGTAAACTATGACGCATTTATCTAAAAGTGGCCTAAACGCCTCGTTCATGGTCATCTGAAATGTTGCAGGCGCGTTGGTCAGCCCGAAAGGCATCACCGTGTAATCGAATGACCCGTACCTAGTCCTAAATGCTGTCTTGGCGCAGTCCGATGGTTCGGCCCGAATTTGATGGTAACCTCCCCGTAAGTCTATTTTCGAAAATACTCGTGCGGTTCGCAGCTGGTCGATCAGTTCGTCGGCGCGGGGGATGGGGTATCGTGATTTTACTGTTACCCTGTTAAGCGCTCGGTAGTCGATGCACATGCGAAACCCCCCGTCTTTTTTCGGTGTGAACAGTATCGGTGCGGCGAACGGTGACGAGCTCGGTCGGATAAACTACTTCTCTAACAGGTAATCTAACTGCTTCCTTAGCTCGTCGAGCTCGGGCTGTGTCAGTCGAAATTGGCGCTGTACAGTTGGTTGTGCCCCCGGTTCTAACTCGATCCTATGGTCATGCGCCCGCTGAGGTGGCAGCCCTTGCGGTAAGTCATCCGGAAAGATACCCGGGAACCGTTTCAGTAGTGCCTGTAGTTCGGGTGGTACGGCTGCCAACAGTTTCTGCAAATCACTCGGCCGGTCCTCTTTTTCCACTAATGCGATATCCACTGCGTACACGTCAGCTCCAGCAGCGACAGCCCGTTTCATCGTGATGGCGTTGACCTGGACCGTCGAAGACTCGGGTGGCTGCCAGCGAGGTAGGGCGACCCAGTTACCACTAGCTCGCACTGTGCAGCTACCCGTCGTCCAGTCAATTCGTGGGTTATACCGTCGCAGCCAATCACGTCCCAATAAAATGTCGTGCCCATCCAGTGTCGTTGCGAGCATTTCCTGTGTAAACCCGAAGTTCCCTCCGCAGCGGACCTTTACTCTCTCCACCTTTTCCCGTATAGCCAGTGGCGTGCCGTCGACTAAGCGTGCATCTATCTCAGGTAAGCATCGGTTAAGTGTTAACTGTAATTTCCGTGCGGTTGCGGTATTAACTAAGCTGTGACTTGCTCCTCCGTCAATAAAAATCTTCACTGCTGCTCCCTGTATTTTCCCATAGATTAGTACCGGGCAATCCGTCGCTGTACCCTCCTTATTCATCCGAGCCCGATCGATGGCATGAATCGGTACTGTGACTCGGTGAGGGTCGGTGTGGTTGGGCGAGCAGGCAGTCTCGTCAGTAGTTGGCCCAACTTCTACTGACTGCTGGCGTTTCCCTGCCTCTGAGACTCCCTCCCCTGCTCTGCTCCGCGGCGCCTCAGCTCCTCTGGGCATTCGCTCTTGCGATGGCCCGGCCTGTTGCAAGCAAAGCAGCGCCCCTTAAACGGTGCGGCAGCTGCATTCGTTGCGACGGCGTGTACAGTGGCGTGCTCGGTCGGTCCCCGAGGATGATGTCCGTAATAGGACCCCGGTCTCGGTCGGCGTAGAATGTCGATCTTCTCGGCGAGCGCGAGAATCTCGTTGAAGTTAGAGAGTCCGCGCAGCATTATCTCGTGCGAGATGTCCGGCTTCAGCCCTCCGACGTAACGGTCCACCCGCTCCGCTTCGTGCATGTAGCCGACCTGCTCGCAAAGTGCGAGAAAACCGCTGGTATAGTCTTGAACTGACCCGAGCTGGCGCCAAGTGCGCGGTTTCTGACGCGCCGAAATTGAAGCCGCGATCGGCTCAAAACGCGCCCGAAGTCCTGCGCACCACGCATCCCACGTGCTGTATTGGGCGGTCTCGCAGAACGAACTCCAGGTGACAGCTGGACCCGAGGGCCCTTCCTCGTGCGACGGTGGCTCGTAGGCGCGTGGCGACGTCACGATGACTCGCCACCAGTCCATGGCGGGGCCTCTTAGCAGTGAAACCGCATACCGGATCTTTGCGGCGTCCGACTCGACGTAATTGGCGTCGAAGAAAACGTTCATCGTGAAGACCCACGATTGAACCGTCGGACCGCCGCGTTGACTTGGGTCGAAGCAGGGCGGGCGTTGCGGCTTGAGCGGCATTGGTGCCATGTTGGGTTATTCGCCACTTGTCGCCGCAAATTCCACGTGCCGACGGACTTCTCGAGGCTCCCGTGGGCTTGGTGCGATCCTGTTTCCTCCCATGCCAGGCATCGGTTGGGCGGCGCCCTCACTGGCTGCGCCTGAGCGTTGTCCCGTGCTGTCGTGTTGTGTTGGTGTGCCGGACGAGATGATGATCGGCTCATCCGAACGTGCAGATGCGTTTGTTGGTGCGTGGGATGTCGTCGGTACGTTCATCGTGGATTGTTGACGGGCGGAGTCACGTTCCGCCGTGAGGGTCGCGATTTCAAGCGCCGAATCCTCCAGTTGACGCACGAGACGATCAAGTTGCTCCTGCGTCAATGTGGCGAGCGTGAAATCGGCCATGGCGGGGGTGTCGGGCAAGCTCAGCGAGAGCCTCGGTCGTGGCCGTGCGTGCTTGCGAGAGAGCACTACGAGCGGCGGTGCTGTATCGCTGAGAGACGTCTACCCCCCCAAAAAATTGAGATAGTGGGGAAGTGAAGGTGTGGATACGGTCCGAGATGGGATCGTAGGCTCTGAATACCAAGTGTTACGAGTGCAATTGAGTGAACGAGCGAGAATTGCACTATCGAAGCAAGAGTCCAATGAGCGAAGGTATGAGCGAAGAATATATAGCGAAACTACAGTGGTAACGGTAATGGTCGCGCGACGAGCCTGGGACTGAGGTTGGGAACGTGTCGAAGCGTAGGCCCGGAGCGCGGGTTACCAGCCGAGCCGTGAGGTCGGGATGCGATGTGCGAAAATGGCGGGATGATGAATGATGCGATGGTTGTGAGTGGTAACGGTGCTGACTGAGGTGCTACAGTGATGTACGCGTTGAGCAGAGATGCGAAGTAAGGAAAAGGGAATTTCCTTACAGTACGAGATAAGACATATGTGTCTTACAAACGAAACTACAACATATTTTAGTGAAAATTGAAATACCGCGTACATTTTTACCCTTGCGACACGCGAATTCTGCCACGTGCTGACTCACATACTACCAAATTTGAGGTTGCAAGTATTCGGGATGACGTGGCGTCCCGAACAATGGTTGCCGAAGTGGCACCTTCGCAACGAGAAACTCTTTTCAAGGTGCGTGAAAACATTTTTAAGTAGTTAAAAAACGTTTCCATTTTTAAGACTTGACACCTAAAACCTCCCCAAATACAAGATAAACCAAACATTTTTTTTAGTGTATGAGATAAGACATATGTCTTATATCCGGGCGATGACGGTACCGTATTCACATGCGACTTGAATCACGGCCAAAAAGTGCCGACTTGATCCAATCAAACACCACCAGGGCTCTTGTCCTCGCACTGACTTGCTTACTGCAAGGAGAGTGAGACACGGGGAAGCATAAGTAAGAGAGCGCTGCAGCATTTTTGCTAGAAGGATCCTAAGAAGGGACCCCAGTGCGCTGCAGCATTTCTGCTGCCTATGAATGCACGCACCCACAATACGGTACACAACACACCCACCTGGTGTAGACAGAGTACCAGAGCCACTGTGTGGACCTCTAATCAAAGCACATGCATGCACTCATACTGCACAGCGCACTCACCTGGCATACACAGATTACCAGAGCCACTGTGTGGACCTGCAAGTATGAATGCATGCACCCATAACACATGACACACCCACCTGTCGACAGAGTGCAGCACACCCACCAGGCATAGACAGAGTACCAGAGCCACCAAAGGCCTTCATCATCGCACCCACCTGGCATACACGGAGTACCAGAGCCACTGAGTGGACCGGCCAATGCTGACCCAGTCGCCAGGCAGCTCTGCTGCGGTGGTCTCCGACCCTAGCGGGGCGAACTGCCCCAAATGCACGTAGCTAGATGCATGCATGGAGGGAGGGGGGATGGAGAGGGGGGAGGGGCGGAGGGGAGTTTTCAGACGTCACAAAAGGCGCAGCCGTGGTCTCCGACCCCGAGGGGCGAACTGCCCCAAGTGGACATAGCTGGTTGCATGTTGGGGGGCAGGGTCACAACAAGCAATCGGCACAAATAGAGCAGTTGGGATAGACAGCTCCGCTCCGCTGTCGGGGTCTCCGACCTCAGCAGATGGACATAGCTGGTTGCATGTTAGGGGGCAGGGTCACAACAAGCAATTCGCACGAATAGAGCAGTTGGGATAGGTAGGGAGCTCCGCTGCTGTGGTCTCCGACTCCAGAGGGGCGAACTGCCCCCAATGCACATAGCGGGTTGTGTGGAGGGAAGGGAAAAGCAAAATGGCTTTTGAGTCGCGTTTGAGTCGGCTGTGGTCTCCGACCCCAGAGGGGCGAACTGCCCCAAATGCACATAGCGGGTTGTGTGGAGGGAAGGGAAAAGCAAAATGGCTTTTGAGTCGCGTTTGAGTCGGCTGTGGTCTCCGACCCCAGAGGGGCGAACTGCCCCCAATGCACATAGCGGGTTGTGTGGTGTGAGGTTGGAGGAGTAGGGTTGGGTGAGAAGCAAGTGGCTTTGAGTCGACTTATTCCAAGTACCTGTGTCGCCACTCCCTCCCTCCTGCCTCCCATTCCAAGTAAACACAATCCTGAAGAGCATAAACATACGCTAAGAAACGTCCATAAGACTGAATGTGATAATAATATGAATAATAGAAATAATAAAAGCAATAACAATAACACTAACCAGCTCCAAAGCATCCCAACTTACCACCTACGCCACCTCTCCAGTCACCGGAACGGCTGCAGCAGATGCCGGCCCTCCCCTCGCAGCTTGGGCGGCCCCTCGGGAGGTAGAGCAGGGTCCAGCAGGCGGTTGAAGCAGCGCGCCACGTACTGCCCCTGCTGCGACATCCCATCTCACCACCAATCCTACCACCCATCCCACCACTGATCCCACCACCCATCACACCCCGTCCACTCACCGGAACGGCTGCAGCAGGTGACGGCCCTCCCCTCGCAGCTTGGGCGGCCCCTCGGGCGGTAGAGCAGGGTCCAGCAATCGATTGAAGCAGCGCGCCACGTACTGCCCCTGCTGCGCCGCCACCTGTGCCGTGGCCGGCAGTGTCTTCATCTGCCCCTCCACCCGCCTCAGCACCACCTCAAACTGCTCCAGCGACAGGCCCCTGCCCTCGCACGCTTGCTGCTCGCCCCCCTCGTTTCCCGGCGCGCCTGTGCCTGCTGCTGCTCCTGCCGGTGCTGTGCCTGCTGGTGCTCCTGCCTTGCTGTCCGCGTGCAATGCATCCTGCCAATGCGCCGGCTCGTGGGGGAAACAGAAAGCGGGGGAGCAGGGGAAAGGTGCGAGGGGAAGAGGGAAGGAGAAAGCAGGATGGGTGTGGGTGGAGGGCGCATTGGAACAATCTTCGTCTCAGCTTTTATCTCATGCAAGCAACAATGAGTCTACATCCCCCCCCCTCACCTCCTCCCATACCCCTGCCGTCTACAATCCACAAGGCGGTGTACCTGAATGAGCTGTGCCATGCGGTCCCGTGACTTGAGCAGAGCAGCAGCATGTAAGCAGCACAGCACTAGCATGGGGGCTCGACGGGCTCTCTTGGTCTCAGAGAGTGGGCGGCAGCATGGGAGGGGACGGTGGCATGGGAGGGGAGCGAGATGTACCTGAATGAGCTGTGCCATGCGGTCCCGTGACCTGAGCAGAGCAGCAGCATGTTGCATTCGGACAGCCCTGCTGGAGGGTTCGCAAGGCCGCCTTGGTTTCAAAGAGTGTAGGGCAGCGGGGGAGGAAAGGGGGGTATACCTGAATGAGCTGTGCCATGCGGTCCTGTGACTTGAGCAAAGCAGGTGAGTGGCAACCTGGGGGACAGCAGGAGCGGCGCGTACCTGAATGAGCTGCGCCATGCGGTCCCGTGAATTGAGCAGAGTGGCAGGATGCGGGTAGTGCAGTCAGAGTGCTTGGAGGGCCGCTTTGGTCTAGAGTGTGCGGCGGCATGGGAGGACAAGGGGGGGTACCTGAATGAGCTGTGCCATGCGGTCCCTTGACCTGAGCAGAGCAGCAGCATGCGGGTAGCACAGAACTAGCATGAGGGATCGAAGAGTCGTCTTGGTCTCAGATGGTGCAAGGCAGTAGCAGGTAAAGGGAGGGGAATGCACCTGAATGAGCTGTGCCATGCGGTCCCGTGACCTGAGCAGAGTGGCAGCATGCGGGTAGCAGTCAGAGTGCTTAATGGGGGGTGGGAGCACAAAGAGAGCAGGAGGGGGGTTTACCTGAATGAGCTGTGCCATGCGGTCCCGTGACTTGAGCAGAGCAGCAGCATGCGGGTAGCGCTGCTGGAGGGCTCGCAGGGCCGCCTTGGTCTCGGAGGGCGAGAGGCAGCCGTCCCCGTTGGTGTCAAAGGCTCGGAACATGCGCGCTGTGTCGTCCTGGCCGCACAGTGATGGGAGCAGAGTGGTGACATGGGAGACGGAGGGGGGCAAGGAAGGACAGGGAAGAAGGCGAGAGTAAGGGATATGCGAGCTGCCTCGTCCTGCACGCACCATGATCATGCGAGGGGTTGGACGGGGCGTAGCGGTGGGGGAAAGAGGCGGGAAAACGGAGGCACGACGTGAGGGGAAATGAAAGGGCGGATGGGGGAGGGGGGAGAAAGAGGGGGGGGGGGGAGGGGGGAGAAAGAGGGGGGGGGGGGGGGGGGGGGAGCGGGGAGAAAGAGGGGACGGGGGAGAAAGAGGGGAGGGGGGAGAAAGAGGGGAGGAGAGAGTGCAAGGAAAGGGACGGCAAGAACCGTCGGAGACAAGGGAAAGACATGAACTGTTGCGATCTGTGAAGAAACGGGGAGAGCATGGGACAGAAGAGGGGCGAAGGGAAGTGTAGGTGGAGGGGTGGGAGAGGGCGCTGATGGGTACAGACAGCCCCATATGCTGCCCCCCTCACATGCTGCCCCCCTCACATGCTGCCCCCCTCACATGCTGCCCCCCTCACATGCTGCCCCCCTCACATGCTGCCCCCCTCACATGCTGCCCCCCTCACATGCTGCCCCCCTCACATGCTCCCCGCCTCACAAGCTGCCATGCCAACCCGTGTTTTTACTCAAACTCACAGTGAAGGGGCGGTGGTGAATGGCAGCACAGTCGTGAAGGGGCGGTGGTGAATGGCAGCACAGTCGCCCAGCGCCCACATGCTGCCCGCCTCTGCGCCCCTCACTGCCATCCACTCGTCCACCTCCAATGCTCGCTTGTGGTGCTGCAACGGTGTAGGCGGGAAGGGGGAATGTAAGCAGGATTCAGAAGAGGTGGAGCGAAGAGGGAAAAGAGAAGAGGACGTGATGAGAGTGGTGTGTGCCCCCTCACTGCATCCACCATCCATCTCGGCTTGTGGTGCTCCAATGGGGAGAAGAGAGGGGCTTTGATGTTGGAACAACAAACTACCATCCACTCACTGCCATCCACTCACTGCCATCCACTCACTGCCATCCACTCACTGCCATCCACTCACTGCCATCCACTCACTGCCATCCACTCACTGCCATCCACTCACTGCCATCCACTCACTGCCATCCACTCTGGTGTCAATTTACCTGCCTCAGTTGCTCTCTCAACTGCATAACCAGGGGATGGGCCGTGATGCCTGTCGCTCCCACACCACCACTCCATACGCATACGGCACCTCCCTCTGCCTCCTGCTTTTCGCACCACCGCTCTGTTCACAGTTTGTACCTGCCCCAAACCTTACCTGTCCCAGTTGCTCCCTCAGCTTCACAACCAGGGGATGCGCCGTGATGCCTGTTGCCCACACCACCACTCCATACGGCACCTCCCTCTCCCCGCTGCTCTTTGCACCTCTACTGCTCTCCGCACTGCTGCAGCCGTGCACTCCACTCTTGCTGCCATCGCTGCTGCCGCTCTCCCTGCTGCTGCTCGTCTCCCGCACATGGAGAGCGCGCGGGGTAACAGCCGTGACGCGCGCGTGCGTGTGAACAGTGATGCCGTCCCGCTGGAACTTGCGGGCGGCAAACTCAGATATGCGCAGATCAAACCTGGTAGCGGGCGGCACCAAGCGGCAGGGGGGGGGGGGGGGCAGGGGGAGAAGTTGCGTTGGAGTGAGATTTTAGCTGAGAGGGGGAAGGCCATAGGGATGCAGACAGGGGAGGGAGGGAGGGCTGGCCCACGTGCAGTTGTGCATTGTGGAGTGGGAGGGACGCAAGATCCTAGCCATGGCTGCACGCTGTTTCTGACAACTCTCAGAAACACCCTTCTGCAGGTGTGCATTGTGGAGTACGGTTTCTAGCCATGGCTCGTGGCACTGACAGCACCGCCTGGTATGTGTTCCCCCGACTGCAGCAGAGAAGCGGGGTCATTGCCATGGAGGGCAGGGTAGAGGAGGTACAGACAGGTTCCCTATGCCATTCACCGCATGCCATTCACCGCATGCCATTCACCGCATGCCATTCACCGCATGCCATTCACCGCATGCCTCACGTCATGGCACATGTTGAGAATGTGGTGTCGTGGCTGCAGCAGACACCGAGCCCCCCTCCCTTGAGAGCCGGGTAGAGGCGGTACAGGTCGCCTATGTCATGCATCAAACTACATGCTCTCCAACTCCCCCTCAGAGAACCCAATCTCACATGTTGAGAATGTGGTCGCCTGACTGCAGCGGAGAGACAGACGCCTTCCCCTTGAGGGAAGGGTAGAGGCGGTATAGGTCGCCCTCTACCATGTCGTGCACTGCTGCTGCCACCCTCCCCACGAGCACGCCCCCCCAAGAGCACCCAGTTTTATCTCACATGTTGAGAATGTGGTCGCCTGACTGCAGGAGAGACACAGAGGCCTTCCCCTTGAGTGCAGGGTAGAGGCGGTAGAGGTCCCCCTGCACCATGTCGTGCACTGCTGCTGCCACCTCCACTCCCGTGGGACCGCCCCCCACCACCACCACGTGCAGCAGCCTGGGGGTTTGGATGGTAGCACAAGGAGGGTGACGGGAAGGCAGGACAAGAAATGAGGCACCCTCTCAACTCACCTCCACTCCTGTGGGACCGCCCGCGTGGAGGTGAGAAGCGTGCATAAGGTAGTGGCGGAAGGCTAGGAGAGGCAAACAAGCGAAGGATGGAGGGCAAAAGAGGTGGGTTGGAGCTACAGGGAGGAGAGAGGCACAGCACAGTATGGGGGCGCGGTGGAGCTAGCTTGCTACCTCTGGATCTCCTAAGAGGGTACCTCTGTTGCTCGTCTGCTTCTATCCCCGGTAGGCACGCCGCCTCGCAGCGGTCAATGAGCGTGTTTCTGATGGCCTCCGCATCGTCCAGCGACTGATGGTGGGATGGGGAGAGGGATGGGGGCAGTGGGATGGGGGGCGGGGATAGGGGTTAAAGGGGGCCTCCTCGCAGCGGTCAATGAGCGTGTTTCTGATGGCCTCCGCATCGTCCAGCGACTGATGGTGGGATGGGGAGAGGGATGGGGGCAGTGGGATGGGGGGCGGGGATAGGGGTTAAAGGGGGCCTCCTCGCAGCGGTCAATGAGCGTGTTTCTGATGGCCTCCGCATCGTCCAGCGACTGATGGTGGGATGGGGAGAGGGATGGGGGCAGTGGGATGGGGGGCGGGGATAGGGGTTAAAGGGGGCCTCCTCGCAGCGGTCAATGAGCGTGTTTCTGATGGCCTCCGCATCGTCCAGTGACTGGAATGGGGAGAGAGGAGTGGGGGGGAGAGATGGTGAAGACGGCATGCGAGGAGGAAGATGGGGGAAAGGGATTGGGGGATCGGGAAATGGGGGGAGAGGGATGGGGGGAGGGAATGGGGAGAGAGGGATGGGGGAGAGGGATGGGGGGAGAGGGATGGGGGGAGAGGGATGGAGGGAGAGGGATGGGGGGAGAGGGATGGGGGGAGAGGGATGGGGGATAAAACGTGCATTGAAAGGATGGACGGGAGGGATGGGGAGGAGAGGGGGATGGGGAGGAGACATGGATGGGCAGAAAGAGCAAAGATGGGAAGAGGGGGATAGGCACGAGCGGGGAGAACGGGGAAACGAGGACAGTGGGACAGGGAGGGTTGCGTGATTGACCAGGCTTGACAGCTAGAAGCAAAACATTGGGAAAGACGCAGCATTGGGTAAAACAAAGGATCAAGCAGCCAGCGACGCAGCAATGGGCAATGAGGCACTTGCGGCAGGAAGCAGCAACCACCACGTGCCTTCCCTGCGGCAGCACGGGACTTGACCCACTCCCAGTGCCCAGTGCCCAGTGCCCAGGGCGTTGTGATCGAAGCTCACCTTGAGGAAGTGGCAGTGCTGCTGCACGCCCGGCACGTTAAATGTGTTGGGGACCGCCCCCACGGCCACCACCAGCATGTCGTACGGCACTGTGACCCGCACCTCCCTGCCACTGTGAACCGCACCTCCCTGCCACTGTGAACCGCACCTCCCTGCCACTGTGAACCGCACCTCCCTGCCACCCCCATACCCGCCCTCCCTGGCGCCGCCACACCCGCCGCCACTCTCGCTGCCACCTCCTCCCGCATTACCCCCAGCAACAGCTACGTTTCCAGCAGCAGCATCACTACCACTCCCAGCAGCAGCACCACCACTCGGAGCAGCAGAATCACCACCCCCGGCAGCAGCACCACTATCGTCACCAGAAGCGCCACCACCTTTTCCTTCAGCTCCTCGTGTCGTCTCCCCCTCACCCTCCTCCTGGCCTCCAACCTTTGCAACAGTCGGCACGGGCAGCGGAGGGGGCAGGGCGGCAGGGGCGCGGCAGGAGAGGGTCTTGGAGGCGGGGTCGATGGCAATGCACTCCGCCTCGAGGAAGCGCGCTGAGCTGCCGTGCTGCGAGCAATGAGGGGTGGGAAAAGGAGGGGCGCAAGAGAGTATGAGGACGGGGTGGGTGGGTGAATGGGGAGAACAGCCGATTGTTGCAGGTCAAATGAGGGGTCGATGGCAATGCACTCGGCCTTGAGGAAGCGCGCCGAGGTGCCGTGCTGCGAACAGGGAAGGGGAGCCCAAGGAGGGGCGCAGGAGGGCATGAGGGCAGGGTGGGTGCATGGGGTGGGGAGCAGCACAGCCAGTTGCAGGTCGAATGGCGGGTCGATGGCCGTGCACTCCGCCTCGAGGAAGCGCGCCAAGCTGCCATGCTGCCAACAAGGAGGAGGGTGGGGGGGAGGAGTGGGGGGAGGGTGGGGAGGGGCGGAAGAGGGTCAAGTGAGTATGATGAGGGCGGGGTGGATGGGGAGAGCAGACAGTTGCAGGTCGATTGGGGGGTCGATGCCCGTGCACTCCGCCTCGAGAGGCGCGCCGAGCTGCCGTGCTGCCAGCACAGGGGGGTCTGGAGGGGAGGGATACAAGGGGTTGAGTGTGGGCGCAGGGAGGATGTGGAGGGCAGGCAGTGGTAAGTCGGAAGTGAGGGGGGGCACCGCCTTGAAACTCCAATTGTGACCAATGAGGTCCTTGAGGACTTGGCTGCAATGAAACGAGCTGTGCTGCCGTGCTGATAGGAGTGCGAGAGGAAGGTTCAGGATGGGCGGAAGAGGAGGTGAGTGGGGTGAGGGGCAGCGGGAGAAAAGGGAGGTATAAGTCAATAATGACACTGCACTCAATAATGACACTGCACTCAATAATGACACTGCACTCCATAATGACACTGCACTCCATCATGACACTGCACTCCATAATGACACTGCACTCAATAATGACACTGCACTCAATAATGACACTGCACTCAATAATGACACTGCACTCCATAATGACACTGCACTCCATAATGACACTGCACTCCATAATCGTCAACGGGAGTTGGGTATTGGCCCCGTCCTCGCTTGGGCGGAGCCGACTTCGTGGTCGGGTGTGAGGGGAGCAGCCGACCTGTAGCAGTGGGTGAGCTGGTCGACGAGGAGGTCGACCTGCACGGGGGACCACTGCACGGGCGCCGACTTCAGGGTGGCGCCGACTTCAGGGAGGTCGTCTTGGGAGTCGACCTGCGGAGGACGTCAACTTGGCGAAGCCGACTTCGGCGGTCGGCTATCGGACTGCTAGTCGACCTGTTAGTGGTCGACTGGACCTGGTGGTCGACGAAGGAGGGGCCGACGTCGACCTTGACTCAGGGCGCCAAGCAGGAAGACGCCGAGCAGGAGGACGCCGCCCTGGAGGCCTGGTTGGCGTCCCGTGCGTCTGCACGGCGTCCGGGGTCCGGACGCCGATCTGGGCGTCTGGACGCCGACCAGGGGGTTCGGAAGGCGTCCTGGGCGCCTGGACGCCAGACTGGGGACGCCGGGCATGCGTGACCGGCTACGGACTGCGTGAGCCGACCAGGCGTGGTTGCCCGGTCGATCGGGATACCCGGGCGACGTGCGCGAGTGTCGCCAGGGTGGAGACTGCGAGGCCGACCTCGGGGGTGGTATCCCGAGGTCGACGTGGCTGGTGGGCACAGTCGCTGGCGTGGAGTCTGCCAGGCGTCTGCGTTGCGCACATGACAGGGAAGTGCGCACCAACCAGCTGCGCGCACCTGCGAAGCAGGTGCACCGTTGTCCTGCGGGTGCAACGCTGGGCAGCCGACTTGGTGCAGCGCTGGCACACCGTGGACTTGCAACGTTGGCGAACCGCTACCCTGCTACGCTGGAGGTCGACCAGCAGCCTAGCTAGCTCTGATGTAGTCAATGTTGCCAATGTTGTTGCTACCATTATTGACAACTTTCTCTAGTGAAACTCTTGCCAAATTGCCCCGTGAACTAGCAAGCACTGTGAGCACTAGGAAAACGTCTAAGGACCAACGAACGCAGACATCACACGAGCACACGTGCCTAGCCAGTACTCTAAGCTCCCGTTGTAGTAGTTATCTCTGCATGGTGCGGTGAGCGTGGATCGAACACGCGACGTAGTTCAATCTAGCCGACTTAGCACATACCGATCGTGTTCGTAGACCGGCAGCCGTGAAGTCACTAGCGTGCGCGTAGGCGACGCCGAGGTGATGGACACCCTGGAGGGACGGCTGGAGGATGCGAGGAGACGCCATGAGGCCCAGGAGTATGGGGCGATACCCTGGGCAGTCGTCGAAGCCGGACTCCGCTCCGTGTGGGCGGCGGAGCATCCCCCTTCTCGACCTGCCTCTCCTCGACCGGTGAACAACGACGGCGGCGTCGATGTGGGCGTCAACGCCGGTGGAGGTCAGGTCGGCAGCAGTGTGGGAGGCACGTCGAGGCAACGAGGTGTGATACACGCCGGTGAAGCCGGCGGCGTTCAGGCGAGAGGGATGCAGTTGTCGGCGGCTGCAGGCTCCTCACATGGTGACGGCAGTGGGCGTCGAAGTGGGCTGTCGCCGATGACGGCGTCCCAGGTGACGGCAGGTGGGATTGCACCGAGCTACGGCTACTTCAAGTTTACGCCGGACAGGATCTCGGTCACCCCTCCGCTGGTCGGTCGACCCGACATTCTCACCTGGAAGGAAGCCATCGAGCCCCAGCTAGAGATGGCCGGGCTGATCGGCTCCGCCCGAGGGACAGTGGCGACGCCGAGTGAGCACCACCCCGACCTGCGTGCGGAGTTTCGCGCCGTGCAGCTGTTGACCTTCACGGTCATCTCGCGGTGCTGCTCGCCGGGCGTGCAGATCGCCTTGAAGTGGTGCCGGGAGTACCTCGACGCCGGCCACCGGGCGTGGCACTTCATTGAGTCGACGTACCAGGTCACCGACGACCTGTTCATCGCCCAGCTGGAGGGACAGCTGACACACCTGCGTATGGGCGACGAGGAGAGTGCGACCGACAACTGCAACCGAGCCAGGCGAATTCTCGCCACCATCAGGATGGCCGGCGCGCAGTACTCCACGGCGTCGTACATCACCCATGTCATGCAGGGTCTCTCTAGCAGCTACAACCTGCTGAAGCGGCTGTCTATGGCGCCGAGCACAAGGGCGATGCTCAACGAGGACAACCTGACCTCGTACATCCTGCAGGACGAGGCGATGCAGGAGGCTGAGCGATCGCAGGAGCTCTTGGCGCAGGCCAACTTCGTCGCCCCTGCGAAGCAAGGAGGCCGACCAGGACAGCGCGGACAGTCTGGTGGCGGCGGGAGCGGTAGCTGGAAGTCGACCAAGGAGGTCGAGAAGAAGTCGACCAAGGACGGCGGTCGAGGAGGAGGAGGTCGACGTCGGGAGTGCTGGATCTGCCACAGCCCCGATCACCTCTCCTTCGATTGTCCCGACCGCAGTGACTCCGACGACGACGCTAGGGCGGCCGCGGGAGGTCTGGCAGCCGTCGTCCTCGTCGTGGAGGAAATCATCCGCGCAAGGAGAAACAGTCGACCAAGGCATCGACTTCGGCGAAGGACGCCGACTCCGTTGCAGGCGGCAAGGGGCGAGACGACAAGATGGCGTCGTGCTCGCTGGTCGGCGTCGTGGAGCCGACCATCTCTCTGGCGCCGGAGGCCGGAGAGGACTTCCAGGCGGTGGCGGCGGCTGTGCAGGCGAACCCGGCGGTGGTCCTGCTCGACAGCGGTTGCTCCCACCACCTGATGGGAACGAAGGAAGCCTTCGTTGACCTTCAGCCGAGTGGCTCCATCAAGCACGTGCGCGGCTTCAATGGGGCGCTGCAGGACATTCAGGGCAGTGGCACCGTCGCTCTGCGAGGAGAGGCCGGGAAGGAGGTGCTCATCCCCGACGTGTTGTACGTCCCAGGTGTGCGAGCCAACCTGCTGTCGGCCGGCCAGCTGAAGGAGCACGGAGTGAAGCTGCAGGAGGACGGAGACGGCATGCTGCTCGTCTCGACAGCAGGGGAGGTGCTCGGGCGGGCGACGTACCCTGGGCGAGTCCTCTGCACCGACCTGCGTCCCTGCGCGACGAGGTCGACGCCGCCCACGTCGGAGGTGGTGGCTCTGCGGGCGATCGTCTCGAAGACAAAGTCGACGCCGGACCGGATGCATGCGAGGCTTGCACATGTCGGCATGGACACCATACGGAGCTCAGCGAAGAACGAGGTCGCCACTGGGCTGGACCTCAAGTCGGCGACGGACGCCGACTCCCCGTGTGTCTCGTGCGTCGGCGGGAAGCTGGCGCGACACACCTTCCCCGACCACGGCTCCGACGCCGACGATGTGCTGGCCGTCATGAACATCGACCTGTGCGGGCCATTCCGCGTGGCTGCCAAGGATGGCAGCCTGTACTTCTTGTTGCTGAAGGACCGCAAGACCCGCTACGTGTGAGTGAAGCCGATCACCAAGAAGTCAGATGCGTTGCCGGCGTTCGTGCAGTGGCTGGCAGTGGCTGAGCGGCAGACGAAGAGGTCGGTGTTAATGCTGCGCTCTGACCGGGGAGGGGAGTTCCTCGGGAAGCAGTTCACCGACTTCGTGAACGGCAAGGGGATCGTCCACGACCTGACCTGCCCATACACCCCGCAGCAGAACGGCATGGCGGAGCGGGAGATGAGGACGGTGGTGGAGTCGGTGCGGACAATGCTGCTGCACATGGGCGTGCAGCACCACTGGTGGCACCTCGCTCTCCGGCAGGCCGTCTGGGTCCGCAACTGCCTTGAGAGGTCGGCGCTGCCGCCGGGGACGACGCCGTACCAACTGCTGACCGGGAAGAAGCCCGACTTGTCGCTGGCGCGGGTGTGGGGCTGCATGGCGCAGTTCTTAGTCACCGAGCAGCAGCGTGGTGGGAAGCTGCAGCCGAAGGCCAGGTGGGGCCTGCACCTTGGCGTGTCGGCGGCGAGCTAGGGCTGGGAGCTCCTCGACGTCGACGCCGACCGGGTGGTCACCACGTCGAATGTGGTGTTCTACGAGGAGCTGTCGCTGGCCGAGTGGAAGACGGAGTACGGGTCGGTGTCCGGCCGCTCGTCGCCCACCCCGCCCTCTGACACCTCGTCGGCGACGCTGCCACTGCTTGCCGAGGTCGGTGAGCTTGCTATTACGGACGTCGAGGACGTCCGCCCCCCTACCCCTCCCCCTCCGACCCCTGCCCCTCCCTTCGTGGCCGACCTGCGTGGGCTGACCTCGGTGTCGGCCTCCGGCGATGAGGGGAGTAGTGGGACGTCGCCTTCGGCCAAGTGCATCGCCGGTGGCCGACGTGACGGGCGGCAGGTCGACGTGGGATTGCGGTCGACGTCGACAGGGGAGGAGCAGGTCGAGAAGCAGGTCGAGGACCAGCGGCCGACAAAGGAGCAGGCAGCAGTGACGCCGACCAAGGAGCAGTCGGCGACCGGGCAGTCGGCAGGGGAGCCGACCATAGGGGAGAAGTCGGCTGGGACGCCGGCTGAGGAGCACCAGGACGCCGAGGGCAGCGACAGCGGCAACAATGGAGGGGACGCCGAGGAGGTCCAGCCTGGACCACGGCGTTCAGGCCGACTTCGGAGACCGCCTGACTTCTTCGTCCCCGCTGCCTTCACCACGGTGTACGACGTGGACGATGAGGCCGACGACCTGCTGTACGACGATGCCGAGAAGGATGAAGAGTTTCCGGAGCTCGACCCCGACATGCTAGCCGACCCCGAGCACCGTTGGGACATCTCGACGATGACGGTGAAGGAGGCGTTGGCGAGCTGGAAGGGCCCGGCGGTGAAGGCCGCCATGGAGGAGGAGATTCGCAGCCTCATCAACATGGGCACTTGGGAGCTGGTCGAACGCCCGCCGGGGGTGAACGTCATGAAGAACCGGTGGGTGTTGACGACGAAGTACCACATCGACGACACCGTCGAGCGAGAGAAGGCGAGGCTGGTCGTGAAGGGCTTCACACAGGTGTATGGCGCCGACTACGACGAGACGTTCGCGCCGGTGAGCAGCTACGTCACGTTGAGGATCTTCCTCAGCATCGTCGCTGTCCTCAACCTCAACCTGATGCAGCTCGACATGAAGAACGCCTTCTTGCAGAGCAAGCTCGACCGGGTGCTGTACATGTCTCAGCCGGACTACTTCAACGACGGGACCGGCCGGGTGTGCAAGCTGCTGAAGAGCCTGTACGGGCTAAAGCAGTCGCCGCTGCTATGGTACTTGGCGCTCAATGACGTGCTGGTCGGCGCCGGGTGGAAGAAGAGCCAGGTCGACGAGGCTCTCTACTTCAAGGACGGAAAGGACGGAGTGGCCTGCAGGGTGCTGGTCTACGTCGACGACCTACTTGCCGCCAGCAGTAGCGCCGCGATGTTGAAGGAGCTGAAGGAGCTTCTGGAAGCCGCCTTCGAGCTGCGTGAGATCTCGCCGGTGCAGAAGTACCTCACGCTGGAGATCGTCCGCGACAGGTCGGCGGGGAAGCTATGGCTGCACCAGCAGGGCTACGCCGACAAGCTTCGTAGGCGCTTCATCGACGAGGAGCAGACCGGGCGCACTCCGAAGACGCCGGTCTCGGTCGATGCCTACGCCGAGCTCACGTTCGATGACGAGGAGGCACAGGAGCAGCAGGAAGAGGAGTACCGGCAGAAGGTCGGCTCGCTGCAGTTCGCGGCGACGACGACGAGGCCGGACATCGCCTTCGCCTGCAGCAAGCTGGGGAGCGGCCTCACGGTGAGGAGCGACCAGCACTGGCGCGAGGTCGACCGCTGCCTCGCCTACCTCGCCAATACGCGCGACACCGCACTGGAGTTCGGCGGTGGACCTGAATCGCTGGAGCTGGTCGGCTACGTGGACGCCGACGACGCCGGTGACAAGCAGAACAGGACGAGCACGGGTGGCTACGTGTTCGTCTATGGAGGGGCCGCAGTCTCCTGGTCGAGCCAGCACATCAAGTGTGCGACGTTGTCATCGACTGAGTCGGAGTACGTGGCAGCCACCGAAGCCGGCAAGGAAGGACGCCGACTTCGCTTCCTCCTTGCAGAGTTCCGGCAGCTGGATGCCGGGAAGCCGACCGTCCTTCGGGTGGACAACAAGTCGGCCATCTCAGTCGTCGAGGGCATGGGGTTGACGGGCAACCTCAAGCACATGGAGCGGCGACAGGCCTGGCTGCAGCACATGGTGAAGCGCGGGAAGTTCTCGCTGCAGTACATCCCAACCGCTGAGCAGCCGGCCGATTTCCTGACGAAGGCGCTGCACTATCCGGCCTTCAACCGGTGCTCCGTCGCAATCGGTCAGGTGCGCTTGGCCGACGTGAGCGACGGCGACAACGACGTGCAGCAGTAGGTGCCATGCCCTCTTGCATGGCTGGTGCGGTGACCAGCGTGCTTTGTGTTGGGTGCACGCTGACGGGCTATTCTCAGAGCTGTACTGCCGTGTGGGCTGGGTGCCCAAGCGTGAACGCGGCAGGGGAGTGTCAACGGGAGTTGGGTATTGGCCCCGTCCTCGCTTGGGCGGAGCCGACTTCGTGGTCGGGTGTGAGGGGAGCAGCCGACCTGTAGCAGTGGGTGAGCTGGTCGACGAGGAGGTCGACCTGCACGGGGGACCACTGCACGGGCGCCGACTTCAGGGTGGCGCCGACTTCAGGGAGGTCGTCTTGGGAGTCGACCTGCGGAGGACGTCAACTTGGCGAAGCCGACTTCGGCGGTCGGCTATCGGACTGCTAGTCGACCTGTTAGTGGTCGACTGGACCTGGTGGTCGACGAAGGAGGGGCCGACGTCGACCTTGACTCAGGGCGCCAAGCAGGAAGACGCCGAGCAGGAGGACGACGCCCTGGAGGCCTGGTTGGCGTCCCGTGCGTCTGCACGGCGTCCGGGGTCCGGACGCCGATCTGGGCGTCTGGACGCCGACCAGGGGGTTCGGAAGGCGTCCTGGGCGCCTGGACGCCAGACTGGGGACGCCGGGCATGCGTGACCGGCTACGGACTGCGTGAGCCGACCAGGCGTGGTTGCCCGGTCGATCGGGATACCCGGGCGACGTGCGCGAGTGTCGCCAGGGTGGAGACTGCGAGGCCGACCTCGGGGGTGGTATCCCGAGGTCGACGTGGCTGGTGGGCACAGTCGCTGGCGTGGAGTCTGCCAGGCGTCTGCGTTGCGCACATGACAGGGAAGTGCGCACCAACCAGCTGCGCGCACCTGCGAAGCAGGTGCACCGTTGTCCTGCGGGTGCAACGCTGGGCAGCCGACTTGGTGCAGCGCTGGCACACCGTGGACTTGCAACGTTGGCGAACCGCTACCCTGCTACGCTGGAGGTCGACCAGCAGCCTAGCTAGCTCTGATGTAGTCAATGTTGCCAATGTTGTTGCTACCATTATTGACAACTTTCTCTAGTGAAACTCTTGCCAAATTGCCCCGTGAACTAGCAAGCAGTGTGAGCACTAGGAAAACGTCTAAGGACCAACGAACGCAGACATCACACGAGCACACGTGCCTAGCCAGTACTCTAAGCTCCCGTTGTAGTAGTTATCTCTGCAATAATGACACACCACTCCATAATGACACTGATTGCATGACATTGCTAGCAGCACCTGACTGACTGGAAACTCACCCTCAACAGGATGCGCCTGATTGGCTCAGCGATGCTCCTGCCCTCGACCACTCCCGTGGTGACACTTGGCAGCAGCGGCGTGAAGAGGAAGAAGTTGCGGGGCGAGATGAGTGTGACGTCATACCCATGCGCGTCTATGGCTTTAAGGAAGCTCACCGCGCCCCACCCCGACCCCAGCACCACCACCCGCTTCCTGCAGTTAGCGCCGCCACTGGACTTGCCACTGGAGGTGTTTGTAGCAGCGAGTTCACTGCTGCTGGCGCTTGCACCGCTGCTGCTGCTGGTCCCATTGCGCTCATTCCCACCACCTGCCCCACCTGCCCCACCTGCCCCACCTGCCCCACCTGCCCCACCTGCCTCACCAGCGCTACCAAATTCAGGGTTTTTCACAGGTGATCCGTTATCATTAGACCTGATACTAGAACTAAGAGCAGCCACGTCAGCACACTCCACTCGTAGCAGCAGCCAATCCCCCTGCAGATGCCTCCATGCATCCGCCATCACGCCAGCAGCTTCTTTTCCCTTTTCCAGCCCCAACTCCATCACCGCACACCCAGCCGCCCCTGCCACACAGACACCCAGCAGTGACCCCCACCCCCCTCCCCTGCCTGGCGCAACTCCCCCCGTCCACGCACCCCCTTGCGCGCCCATGTGCTCCGCCCCTCCAAACCCCTCCGCCCCCGCAACCCCCTTGGCTCCCCCAGCGCGCCCACCCTGCCAGGGATTGCGGCTGTGGCTGTACCTCAGGGGCGCCTTGCCTCGCTGCATGAGACTCAGGCGTCCCACCACCGCTCGCCACCAACGCCCACCCATCCCCACCCCTCTGCCTCCGGCAGGCTGCTGCCGCACCGCCCTCTGGCCTTGCCCCTATAGGAGCTTTCCCGCACTCCCTGTCCTTAGCGCTTCCTGCTCCTCCGCTACCCCCCTTTGCTCCTGCAGCGGCGCGCACTGCGCACTCACGCGCCTCCCCCACACGCAGAGCGCACTCACGCGCGCAGTGCGCACTCACGCGCCTCCCCCCCACGCAGCGCGCACTCACGCCCCTTTCCCCGTGCCCTTCCACCCCGCTATTGCTTCCTGGCCTTACGAGGCTTCCTGTGTGTCCGATGCGGTAGCTGATTTGAAAAATTCCGAGTCGATTCAAACATCGCATCACAACGGCTTGCTGTGGATCCGATACGGTACTAGCGGATCTTCGTAGCGGATCGTCCGGGTAGCGGATGTTAAGGGTTGAACAAACCGACAGGGACACGATACAACCTATCAGCGGAACGTCTGACCGAGCGTATCGTCCGAGTGTTTAGTGTGAACGACTGCGCGCAGCTGAGACGCGTGGTGCATCCCGCAGAGCCCTTCTGAGTCCGCCGGTCCGTTCCCACCGTCGCACGCCCCCTGAGGCGCCTTCCGACTGTCGCCGCCCTCGTTCGTGTGCGCGCCCGAGCCGCATGCTCTCTGAATTTGGTAGGGCCGCAGAGCGATCGACATTTCCCAGGCGCAAGCCTGGCGCGCGTTCGGGCCAATCCGAACCTCCATGAACCTGGTTCGCGTCGCTGGTTGCTGGCTCTTGGCGCTTCGATTCCCGCCGCTGCCAGGCTGGCTGAGACTGTGGCGTCCAATCTGGATTCGAAGAACCTGCGGATGGATTCAGTCTGGAACGCCACGTGGCACGTGCATGTGGAGAGAACGCGAAGCGAGAAAAGCGACATTGTTTCGCCTCAACTGCTCGAGCCGAGGCGTGATTATGCCATGCAATGCAAGGCTAGTCGTGCAGAAGGAGAGATAAGGGCGCGGGTCAGAACATCACTGGAGCTGAGCGGTGGGGGCGCGAAATTCTTCAAATCGGGTTACACCGCAAAGTCTGCAGCCTTCGCGACGTGCTTTCCGATACACGGCCAGACAGTGTGACACGATCACGATCTGCACTGCAATCCGAAAGAGACCTGCTTCGAAATTGAGAAGTCACAGAACCCAAGTTTCAGATTGACATGAAAATTGGACCAACCACTCTTTGGAACACCTAGAAATCTGGTTCGGTTCATTTACTGGTACGAACCTCTGCTGCTCGCGCTAGAGTCTGCTCGCACATTAAAGCTCGTGACTCGGCCAGAATATGAGCCCAAGTTTCGGGTGCGATCTTTCACGGGATCCCCTTGCAGCGCGGTTGCAAGCGGTTGGCAGGGGTGCCATCGACCAAGCTAGGATAAACACCAAGGATTACTACTTTCGTAGCGCGTCCCGCATCAAAGAATGGCTTCTACGAGTAACAGATTGTACGGCGTGACGTTGTGGCATTCTGCATCGCCCTGAGCTAACCCGCAATTTTGTTCGTGTCCTAATAGCACACAGCGGCCGCATTGCGGCATGAAAGTAGTACGCGCCGCTCCACGCCCTCATGTTGCTCCACGCCCTGCGCCGTTCCACGCCCTCAAGGCCCTTTTTGAGGTGACAAAGAAAGCACGCTGTCTCATTCGGCATCGCCCTGACCTAACCCGCACTTAGTTCGTTTCGGATCCAACACGCACGCAAGCACGCACTCAGATCCGGCATTGCGTCATCGCGTCTAGCTATCTCGCACGCATCGCCGGCATTGCGTCATCGCGGCATGAAGTACGCGCCGCTCGACGTTCTCAAGTCGCTCGCGCTCTTCGTCGCGGCGGGAATCCTCGAGATCTCCGGCGGTTGGTTCGTGTGGCAGTGGCGAATCAACGGCTGGCATTGGGCCTGGTGCTTCCTGGGCGCCGCGATCCTCTTCGGCTACGGATTGGTCGCCACCTTCCAGGATGCTTCCTTCGCGCGCACGTACGCAGCGTACGGTGGGATTTTCATTCTGCTCGCGCTGCTGTGGGGATGGGCCGTCGATCGGACGGCTCCGGACGTTTGGGACTTGGTGGGGGCGGCGGTGGCGGTGGGGGGAGCGTGCATCATCATGTTTGTGCCTCGCCCTGCCGCTGACGGTTGAGTCGACTCAAAGGTCCCCTCGGTGACGGTGGCGGTGGCGGTGGGAGGGAGTGTATAATCATGTTCGTGCCTCGCCCTGCCGCTTATGTTTGAGTCGAGTGAAAATTCCTCTCGGTGGCGGTGGCGGTGGGGGGAGCGTGCATCATCATGTTCGTGCCGCGGCCTGCCGCCGACGCCGCAGAGTGATTGCCAGGGGTTCAAGCGCTGAGTCGATTCGAGAATACAGTCGCCGATGGCTGGGGCGGCGAGCAGTTTGGTGCGAATGGGCGCACGTCTGATGTGGCAATCAGTGGTGTGGGCAAGTGGGTGTGGAGGAGCATGTAGGTGTGGTAAGCACGTGGGTATGGAGGCAAGGGGATGATAGCGATGGCAGGGTCGAGTAGTGCGGCGGAAATGGGCGCATGCTGAGTGACTCCTGAGGTTTCAGGCTCGGCGCGCTAACCATCGAGTTCACGATCGACAGGGTTACAGGGTTACGCGCCGAGGCTCAGCATGCTCGCTTTGTGGCTGCTCGGCCACAAGAGGCTTAGCCTGCCTGCTGGCTCCAAACCTGGTCGCGCGCACTGGCTTGCTATGCCGGTTGAACGAGGTGATATCGAGTGAAAGGAGCGGGGTGAGGGGAGGGGTGGAGTGAGGGGAGGAGCGGGGTGAGGGGAGGGGTGGAGTGAGGGGAGTAGGGGGGGGGGTGAGGGAAAGAGTGGGGTGAGGGTAGCTTTTGGGTGTGGGGGGGAAGGGGATGTGGAGAGCATGGAGGAGCGAGAGAATTGAAGTTTAGAGAGTGCTGCATGAAAGAATGCTCAAGGCACATCAGAAGGCGTTGGCGGGGTGATGGGATGCACCTTTCAGTGGCCCTGATACCAGAAGGCTGGTCTGTACATATCGGAGGGTGTAAATCGGAGGGTGCAGATCGGAGGGTGCAGATCGGAGGGTGCAGATCGGAGGATGCCGATTCGAGGGTGTAGATCGGACGGTGCATATCAGAGATTGCAGATCGAAGGGTGCAGATCGGAGGGTGCAATTCGGAGGGTGCAAATTGCACGGTGCAGATCAGAGGGTGCGGATTGGAGGGTGCAGATTGGAGGGTGCAGATTGGAGGCGGCAGCTTAATCAGTGCGAGCGAGTGTGGCGTTCTTGCGAGTGCCACCAGGTGCGCTTGCGTGTGCGCCTGTATGTGTGCATGTTGGTATGTGTGCATGTGTGCATGTTGGTATGTGTGCTGTGCATGTTGGTATGTGTGCATGTGTGCATGTGGGCATGTGTGCATGTATGCGTGTGGGCATGTGGGCATGTGTGCATGTATGCATGTGGGCATGTGGGCATGTGGGTCATGTGGGCATGTATGCATATGGGCATGTATGCATGTATGCATGTGGGTATGTATGCATGTGGGCATGTATGCATGTATGCATGTGGATATGTATGCATGTGGGCATGTATGCATGTGTGCATGTGGGTCATGTGACCATGTATGCATGTGGGCATGTATGCATGTGTGCATGTGGGCATGTGTGCTGCATGTGTGCGTGTATGCATGTGCACACATGCCTTTGTTTGCACATCTCACGTGCTTGTGATCATTGGTGTGTCTTTCTGGGCATTGCTATATTGATTGTGTTTGCCTCCTATAGTCAATGCTGTACAATATGAGTTCACTTTAACCATACATATGTATATTTCCATGCATATGTATCTCACTCGAGTTATGATTCTTCTTCCCTGTTGCCCTGTTACAAACTTCCACTCCACCCACCCCACTCCCCACCTATCCTGCCCTTCCCCATTCCACCCTCTCCTGCTTTCCCCATCTCTCCTGTCACCACCTCCTCCCCGCTCCTCTGGTTGTCTCATTCTTCAGGAGACGAGACGAGGCACTCGATCCAACAACACCTTGTTGAAGCGCCTCAGAGGAACTCTGGTTCTCTCATTCGGTGTCAGATGAGGCATTTGATGCAAGAATGCCCTTAAGTGGTCAATGCCCTTCAGGGTTAAATGCCCTTCAGGGTTCAATGGCCTTCAGGGGTCCATGCTGGTTACCGGGCAACATGGATGCATGCATAGAACATTGATGTTGATTGCAGGTTTGGTGTGTTGCAAGCCGCGACACCCACACTGTACAGCATGAAAAATGGACATGTATTGTAGGCTTATGGCCACGTTTTCCATAACTCAAGGTCTGTTGTGCGTGATGTGCCTACTACCGGTATCTCTACGGGACGGGACGCATCCATTTAAAGGGTGGGTGGGTCCTGCCTTGCGACTGCTGTGGTACCGTGTCATTAAATGCATCAACGACCTAATAATAAAACCACAGTACTAAAATTTTATGAATGGAATATTTCTCATCAGAGTGGCGCAGCGGAAGCGTGGTGGGCCCATAACCCACAGGTCCGAGGATCGAAACCTCGCTCTGATATATTTTGCTTCCCTGACTGGTGGAGGATTCAACTTGTTAATAAAAGTCCTTCAAAGGGCTTTATAGTATTTTTTTACTATAGAACTCTGGGGTCGATGGGTTAGTGAAGAATGTTAGTGTACTCTAAACTGTAGGCGCGTGAAAATTTGACACAGCCAGACTCCCACCCACATTATCTGTTATGCCCAGCCAGATCCACACCACACCACCAACGCGCCTCCTAGGTTTTGCGTCCCCTCCTAGTACGCGTAATCGCAAATCGCAATTTCCTACTAAAAAACGTTCTCCGTCGCTAACTGGTTCTGGCTTCGAGCTTCACAGAGAACGGCTTTCTGTGAGCCAGGGCCGAAAGTAAGTCGCTAGCAATGCGCGGCAGGAGCGATAGCGATTCCGAGAGGGAGGAAGATTTTAGGAGGAGGCGTGGGCGTAAAGAGCGCAACGACAGCCCCGATTCTATCGATGGTGACTCTAGCGGGAGTGACGAGGACGTGCGGGATGAAGGGCGCGGAAAGGGGAAACGGAACGCGCGGGGCGCTGGGGCAGATGGGCGGAAGGATGAGCGGAAGAGCCGCGGAGAGCCTGAGAGTCCAGTGGAGGACGACGGGGGAAGGCGGGGAGCGGGGAAGCAGGGAAGGGGAGGCGGAGATGGGGGCCCGGGAAATGCGCGCCGCAGGGGGAGGCACGACTCGGACGATGAGAGCGACGAAGATAGGGGCGGTAGCGATGGCGGAAAAGGGGGCGGAAGGGGTGGCGGAAGGGGCGGAAAGGGGAAGGCGCGGGAGGATTTCGAGGAGGAGCGTACGGAAACGAAGAAGAGAGTAGGAGGACGAAGGGGAGAGAGGGATCGTGAGGAGGACGAGGAGGAGGAGGAGGGGGGTGAGCGGTGGGAGATGGGTGGGGGGAGGGAGAGGGTGCGGGTTGGGCGGAAGGAGAAGCGCGGGGAGGAGGGGAGGCGCGGGGGTCGCGCGGAGAGCGAGGAGCGGGAGGAGCGTGATAAGGGTGAGGGGAGGAGGGAGAGAGATCAGATGAGGGCGAGGGATGGCTTGGGGGAAGGTGAGCGCGAGCGAGATGTGATTAGGGGCAGGGAGGGCGGGAGGGGACGAGGAAGGGATGACGTGGATGGGAGGCGAAGGGAGAGAGAGGATGATGGTGGCAGGGATAGGCGACGGGATGGCGAGATGGAGAGGGAGAGGGAGCGAGACGGCAGGAGGGGGAGGGACAGGTCGGGCCGGCACAGGCAGGGAGGGTCCGATTCGGATGGGAGTGAGAGCAGCGGCGAGTGGGAGAGGGAGCGAGAGAGGGAGAGGGGGGGGATAAGGGGGAGAGGAAGGGAAGATAGGCACAGGAGGCATGCGGAAGGTAGGCGAGAGGAGGGGCGGCGAGATAGGGGGAGGGGCGAGTGGGAGGGAGAGGAGAGGCGGGGCGACGGGCGGGGGGCTCCCGTGCGCGCACCCAATGCTGATGCTGCCGCCACTCCTGCCCCCGCCGCTGCTGCCACTGCTGGCGGAGCAGTAGGCCCAGGCGCAGGTCCGGCTGCAGGCAAGGCATCAGCAGCGCGGGACACAGGGCGCACGGGAGGCGCGTACATCCCGCCGTTCAAGCTGGCGCGCATGCTACAGGAGGTGAACGACCGCAGCAGCGCGGAGTACCAGCGGCTCACGTGGGACGCGCTGCGCAAGTCCATCAATGGGCTGGTCAACAAAGTCAACGCGTCCAACATCAAGAACATCATCCCCGAGCTCTTTGCCGAGAACCTCGTGCGCGGCAGGGGGCTGCTGTGCCGCGCGTGCATCAAGTCGCAGATGGCAAGTCCGACGTTCACTCACGTGTTTGCGGCGCTGGTTGCGGTGGTGAACACAAAGTTTCCCGAGCTGGGCGAGCTGCTGCTGAAGAGGATCATTCTGCAGTTTCGAAGGGCGTTTCGGCGCAACGATAAGGTGAGAGTTGATGGCAAAACATGTCCGCTCTTTGGGAGGCGCCTGGACGCTAGAGCGCGTGCATCAAGTCGCAGATGGCCAGTCCGATTTTCACGCACGTGTTTGCGGCGCTCGTGGCGGTGGTGAATACCATGTTTCCCGAGTTAGGGGAGCTGCTGCTGAAGAGGATCATTCTGCAATTTCGCAGGGCGTTCAGACGCAACGACAAGGTGAGAGGGGAAGGAACAAACTGGTCTCGGTTTTCTGTTCACCGGATTTCTGTTGCTCGGGACTTTGTTGGCTGGGAACCTGTTGTTTGCGGCGCTGGTGGCAGTGGTGAATACCAATTTCGCGGAGCTGGGAGAGCTGCTGCTGAAGAGGATCATCAGGCGGCGTTCCGGCGCAACGACAAGGTGAGAGGTGAAGGGGAAAGGTGGTCCCTTCCCAAACTGGGGGAGTCTGTTGCTCAGGCGCTCGTGGCACTCGTGGCGCTGGTGGACGTACGTGTAGCGTACTAAGTTCCCCGAGCTGGGGGAGCTGCTGCTCAAGAGGATCATTCTGCCGTTCAGGAGGGCTTTCGGTTCGGGCGCAATGATGATAAGGCGAGGGGTGGGTGGGCCACGAGGTCCTCGCGTTCGAGCTCCCTCTCTTGGCTCATAGCCAATCCCCCCCTCCCTTTTCTCGACCTGTCTCCCTTCCTTGCCCGTCTTTATATCTCCAACATCCCCATCCCCTTTCCCCCATTCTTTACTTCTTGATCACGCACGAGATCGTTGCGCTTGACCTGCCTCCCTTCCACCCATGCCTGTCTTACATATCCTTTGTAACCCCCCTTCGCCCTCACTCCCCTGCAGCCGGTGCTGGTGGCAGCGTGTCGCTTCCTGGAGCACCTTTGCAACCAGCAGGTGGCTCACGAGATCGTTGCACTCGACCTGCCTCTCTTGCCCACCTCTCTTAGCATATCTCCATCATTCCCTCCCCGCCCCTCCCCTCCTCCTTCCCCCCTCTTGCAGCCGGTGCTGGTGGCGGCGTGTCGCTTCCTGGCGCACCTCTGCAACCAGCAGGTGGCTCACGAGATCGTGGCGCTCGAGCTGCTCACACTGCTGCTGGAGACGCCCACGGATGATAGTGTGGAGGTGAGGGCTGGGGAAGGTGGTATCTGGTGAACTCTATGCCTGGTAGTAAAGGAGGATAGCGCTGCTGCTTGAGCTCCTCACGTTGCTGCTGGAGACGCCAACGGATGACAGCGTGGAGGTGAGGCATGGGGGAGGGAGGTGGGGTCAGGGGAATTACGTTATGGGGAAGCATGGCGCCATGCTGCAGGACCTCTGCCTTCTTCCGCTTTCTATCTCATCCCCACCCATCAACACACACGTCCGCCCTTTCCACTGTCAACCACTCCCAATCACTCTTAACCACTCCCCACCAACCAGGTGGCAGTGAGCTTCGTGAAGGAGTGCGGCGCCGTGCTGCACGACCTCCGTCTCTCTCCCCCCCTCCCATCTCTTCCACACTCAATCACACACACGTCCACCCTTTCCACTCCCGACGACTCCCAATCACTCCCAACCAGGTGGCAGTGAGCTTCGTGAAGGAGTGTGGCGCCATGCTGCAGGACCTCTCGCCCCAGGGCCTTCACAGTGAGTGCTCTTGCCTTAGGCTTGGGCTTAGGCTGGGGTGAACCCAGTGAGTTCTGGCCAGCCTTCACAGTGAGTGCTCTCGCCTTAGGCTTGGGATTAATCTTGGGAGAGCCCAGTGACATGGCCTCCACAGGGAGTGCCAAGTTGCTTGGTATGTGTGTGTTTTTTCAGTTGCTCTCCGTCCTCGTGCCGTTTCAGCCCTCCCATCCCATCAATCTTCTGCCCAGCGTACATTTGCCATGCCACCACCCGCTTCCCCCCTTCAACCAACCACCTTTTGTGTTGAATTTTATGCACCTGCGTCCACATACGCTGCACAAGAGCCATGGAACTGATCATCTGCGCCCCAATGCTCCTGTGCTGTGCCGTGCTGTGTATGTGGATGCGAACTGATAATGCATGCTCCCTGCCAACTGAGTGGTGCGCACACTGATGCATCGCTGCACTAATTTCTGGCAGCAAGTTTCACAGTCTTGATCCTATTGCTTAAGTGTTTACTACAGGTTTGCAGCTACTCCGCAATGAGTCTTGATCCTTGGGCTACTGAATGCATGCTCCCTGCCGACTGAGTGGTGCACACACTGATGCATCGCTGCACGTCCTGCCTCCCTTTCTGCTTTTCCCTTCAACCCCCCACCCCAAGGCATATTCGAGCCCTTCCGTGGCATCCAGCATGAGGGGGAGATCGACAAGCACGTGCAGTTCACCATTGAAGGGCTCTTTTCTCCCCTCCTCTTTTCCTCCTCTCCACCCCTTTCCCTCCTCCCCTTCCTGTCGTCCCCCTCCCACCCCTCACATCGCAGGCATATTCGAGCGCTTCCGCGGCATTCTGCACGAGGGGGAGATCGACAAGCGCGTGCAGTTCACCATCGAGGGGCTCTTTGCCATCCGCAAGGCCAAGTTCGAGGTGCGTGGTTGGTGAGGGGGTATGGGGAGTGTATGGGTGGTGGCACGGGTGATGCTCTGTGTGCAGCTCACCATCGAGGGGCTCTTCGCGATTCGCAAGGCCAAGTTCGAGGTGCGTGCCCGTGATGTGGGGGAGTACGTATGGGCTGTACACGTGTCATGCTGTATGCACGGGTGTGTGTGTCTGTCTGTGCGAGTGCAGCTCAGCTCACCATCGAAGGTCTCTTTGCCATCCGCAACGCCAAGTTTGAGGTGCGTGTGATGGGGTGAGGATCGATCACCCATGGTGCTGTTGCGGATGTAGCTAAAGAGGTGCCTTAACCACAACTCGCCTCCATTCCAACCATCTCCCCTGCTCAGGGCTTCCCCGCAGTGCTGCCCTGCCCAGGTGGGGGAGGGGGATCAGATCTTGCACGAGCTCTCAACATCTCACGCGCACCCTGCTGGCCTCATGCTCACGTCTTCACACCCCTCCCGATGCTCGTCTCTCCCCCTCCCAGGGCTTCCCAGCGCGGCTCCCCGAGCTTGACCTGATAGAGGAGGAGGGTCAGATCAGCTCTCAATTTCTCCCCCTGCTGACTTCATGCACTCCTCTTCCCGTCCCTCCCTCCCATGTCTCTTACCCTCTCCACGGCTTCCCAGCCGTGCAGCGTGGGATCGATCTGGAGGAGGTGGAGGAGGAGGAGGGGGATCAGATTGGACCACCCACAAGCTGTTATTCACTCACTGACTGCATTGGCCTCATGCACACCTCCCCCCGCCCCTCCTCCTCCCCGTGTCTCCTGCCCTCTCTCAGGGCTTCCCAGCAGTGCTGCCCGAGCTGGATCTGGTAGAGCAGGATCAAATCACGCACGAGCTGGCAATCACTCGACCCACCTGGCTTCATGCTCACCTTGTATCGTGATTCCCCACCCACCGTGTTCCGTCCCCCCTTTTTTCAGGGCTTCCCAGCGGTGCTGCCAGAGCTGGATCTGGTGGAGGAGGAGGATCAGATCACGCACGAGCTCTCGCTGGAGGAGCCGTATGACCCCGAGACTTCACTCGGTGAGCTTATAACGAGGATGAGTTGCGTTGAGAGGGTAAGGGTGCTCTCGAAGCTCGATCTGTTTGAGGATCAGATCACCCACGATTTCCTTGAAGAGCCGTATGACCCCGAGACTTCCCTGGGTGAGCGGCGAGCTTATAACGAGGATGATTTCGTGGTAAGGGTGGTGTGTATGTATGTGTAGCTCTGTTTAAATTAATTTCTTCCTCCTTGTCCTCTGCTTTCTTCTCTCTTCTCAATGCATGCTTCCTCGCGCCTTCCTTTTCCGTTCGCTGGCCTTCCCTCCCTCCCTCCCTCCCTCCCTCCCTCCCTCCCTCCCTCCCTAGACTTGTTCACTTCAAATTCCATCCGGGCTATCTGGCCAACCACCAGCGCTACAAAAGCTTGATACGCTCGCCCTTTCTCTCCACTTCTCGCCTTTTCCCCCTCCCCCCCTCCTCCCCCCTCCCCTCCCAGACGTGTTCAAGTTCGACCCGGACTACCTTGCAAACAAGCAGCGTTACAAGGAGATCAAAGCAGAGATCCTGGGGGATGAGGAGGAGGATGAGGACGAGAAGGGCGAAGGGGGGGGTGATGATGACGACGATGACGAGGATGAGGAGAGCAGTGAGGAGGAAGAGGACGAGGAGGAGCAGGCGAAGCAGCAGGAGATTCGCGACGAGACGGAGACCAACCTGGTGAATCTGCGGCGCACCATTTACCTGACCATCATGGCTTCAGTTAACTTTGAGGAGGCGGGCCACAAGCTGATGAAGGTCAACCTGCAGCCGGGGCAGGAGGTGAGAGGCTACTGCTGCTGCTGCTGCTCTGAATGCTGCTTGGGGGATGAGAGGTAGTTGAGGGAGGGGGGGGGGGGTAACGTGTGTAGAAGGGGGCACAAGCTGATGAAGGTCAACCTACAGCCGGGGCAGGAGGTGAGGAGCTGTGTGAGATGCTGCTCGCCTGCTCCCCATTCAATAACTTTCCTCCCTCCCCCTCCCCACACCCCCCTTAACCCCCCCCCCCCCCCCCCTCCCCCTTCTTCCCCTCCCTCTCTCCCCCACCCCCCACAGATGGAGTTGTGTGAGATGCTGCTCGCCTGCTGCTCCCAGGAGCGCACCTACCTGCGCTACTACGGGCTGCTGGGCCAGCGCTTCTGGTGGGTGGAGTGCGGTACTCGGAGATGATGGTGGGTGTGGTGGTATGGTAGTGTCAGGTGAACTCAATGCAAGATGGTGGTATTGGTATTGGGTGCTCCTACCTCCGCCTCTAGGTTCTCCTGGGGCAGCGGTTGTGGTGGGTGGGGTGCGGTACTACCTCCGCTACGTTGTACTCCTGGGGCAGCGGGTCTGGTGGGTGATTGCATTGCAGCTGGAAACGAGGGGAGGGGGGGGGGGGGAGTGTGGATGGAGGAGGTGACTATAAATAATGCATGATCATGTGGGGTGCGATGGTGATAGGGAGTGTAGTTGTGCTACTATTGAATGCTGGGGCACCTATTATAGTGGTGGGAGTGGAACTGGTGGCATTGTTGTGTGAAGTTCGCATTCCCTCAGCTATTTCTCTGTCTCTCAATTTCTCACTTTCCCTCTCCCCACTCCTCCCTTCCACCACAGCATGCTGAACCGCGCCTACCAAGAATGCTTCGTGAAGCAGTACAGCATGATTCACCACCTTCAACCACTATCCACCCCTCCCCACTTCCCCCCCCTTCCACAGCATGCTGAACCGCGCCTACCAAGAGTGTTTCGAGCAGTGCTTCGTAAAGCAGTACAGCATGATTCACCGCCTCGAGACCAACAAGCTGCGCAACGTCGCCAAGCTCTTTGCTCATTTCCTCGCCACCGATGCCATGCCGTGGGCGCTGCTCTCTTATATTCGCTTGACCGAAGAGGACACCTCCTCCTCGTCCCGTATTTTCATCAAGATCATGTTCCAGGTGAGCTTTCGTGCAGCAGGGTGTGCGCTCAGGTGAGCTTTCATGCTCCCTAGTGCTGCGCTCTCAGGGCAGTGGGCTCTCTTCGCCCACTTCCTCGCCACTGACGCCATGCCGTGGGCGCTGCTCTCCTACATTCGCCTCACTGAAGAAGACACCTCATCATCGTCCCGTATCTTCTTCACGATCATGTTCCAGATGCGCTTCAGAACAAGCAGGCGTGCACTGCACTCAGGTGGGCTTCAGTTCACTTCAGCCTGAGTGTGTGCTCTCAGGCTCTTTGCTCACTTCCTCGCCACCGACTCCATGCCGTTAGCGATGCGCTCTTGTATTCGCCTCCATGGGGAAGACACCCCCAGCACCGCCTCACACCCCACCTCCAAATTTTGTTCTGTGTGCCGAAACTGGCCTCTGAACAGGAGATGTGGGAGCAGCTGGGGCTTCACAGGATGAACGAGAGGCTCACTGACCTTTCATCTGCGTCTCTTTTTCCCCATGTCCCCCGAACGCCCCACCCCCATTCTCTCTCTGTCCCATTACCACCCCCCCTCCCCCCTCCCCCACCCTCCCCCCTCAACCCGAGCAGGAGATGTCGGAACAGCTTGGGTTGCGCAAGATGAATGAGACGCTCAGCAACGTGTGCTTTGTTCTCTCCCCCCTTCCCCTCCCAACCCCCCCCCCTCCCCCCTTCTCTCCCCCTCCCCCTATTTCCTGAAACCAACCATAACAGGAGATGTCAGAGCAGCTTGGGCTGCGCAAGATGAACGAGAGGCTCAGCGACCCGACCATGGGGGCGGCGTTTGACGGCATTTTCCCCAAAGACACGCCCAAGAACACGCGCTTCGCTATTAACTTCTTCACTTCTATCGGTCTGGGAGGGCTGACAGACAACCTGAGGGAACACCTGAAGAACATGCCGAAGCTGATCATGCAGCAACAGAAGCCTGTTCAGGTGTCCGAGAGTGAGAGTGAGAGCGAGAGTGATAGCGAGAGTGATAGCGAGAGTGATAGTGAGAGTGATAGTGGGTCGGACAGCGGGAGTGACAGTGGGAGCGAGAGTGAGAGCGAGAGCAGTGAGAGTGAGAGTAGTGAGAGTGAGGATAGCCGAGACAAGAAGAGGAGGCGCAAGAAGTGAGAATTAGCGTGTGGCTGTGCTGACTTGGTTGTTGGGTGTACTGTACATGCACCAGTACACTTCTACTTTGTGTTATGTTGCTGAAATACGATGCTTGTACTTGTACAATTTGCTAGTGGTGTAGCTTTGGGGCTTTGATTGTCAAAACGGAATTCAGGCCCTTGTTTGAAGCACCCGCTTGCAGTTATCTCATGAGAATGCATACCTTGGTTACAGATCCGGACCACCTTGGTTATTCTGAGCACCTGAAATTGTGTAAGTGGGTGTGTAGTGAGAGTAAGTTGCAATTGATTTTAGGAACGCATTGAATACCAGCTATCTCTTGTTTCTAAGTGTAGCTTCATAGCCAATTCTACCTTCGACGATTTGTGACAGTAATTCGAGTCGCCATAGATATTTCCATCAATCGCCAGTCTCGTTTGTCAACCGTCCAGTCAACTCCAAGTCGCACGTGTAGACCTCAGGCATCACGTAGTTGATACTAGCTGACACACACCCCTGAGGCGACTCGAAATTCTATTCCAAAATCTACAGAGCTCCTTGCGCCGCGGCACGAATCGATAGACACTTGGGCAGCAACTGGCATCGGGTGGCGACGCGGCGAATTCTGAATGCGCGTGGAGATGTGTGCAGGTCGGTACGGGCCACGCGGGGTTAATTCAGCTGAAGCCTAGCCTGCGGGGAGCATAGCGCGGAACGAGCTGCACGAGATTGTTTTTCACGTCTCATCATGGCTTAGTACCATTTTAGGGTTCGTATGCCGTGGTTCTGTCATTGACCACGTTAGGGCTCGTCAGTCCGCTGTAGTAGCACCCTCTAGGGTTTTCATCCGCCAGCCGTGGCCTGCGGAGAGTCTCTCCTTCCAGCCATCCGCGATTGCGGCGGTTTCTGGACGGTGTAGATTGGCTATGGCCATGTGATAGTGCCGACAGGGCGTCGTGCCACGTGTCGATCAGTTATTGTAGTGTGAAACACACCCCTTACCCCCTCTCATTTGTCTAATTATTTCCCCTACACCCCACCTCCTCCTTCCCCCCTCCGCACCCACCTTCTTCCCCTGTTCCCCTCAGGGTAAAAGGCATTTTGTGCTTATAAAATATAGACAAGTAAGGAGAGCACAGCAGCTATCTGTTTAGAGCCCATGGACCAATCACAGTCGCCACAGCAGCATGTACGGACAGCCTCCGCCGCCCACCAGATGGCCGCCCAGCAGTCGTTACCTCCACAGTCCGCCGCCCAGCAGCCGCTGCCGCCTCAGTCTGCCGCCCAGCAACCTCTACCGCCCCAGTCGGCCGCCCAGCCACTGTTTGACCCGCGAGTCTGGCCTGGCTTTGAGCGGTTCAACCAGGTGGGGCGGGTGGCTGGTGCGGTGGGGTCGGGTGGAGTGGGGTGGGGCAGGGGAGGGATGTGGTTGGGGTGGCAGTGGAGTGGCGTGGGGTGGGTTGGGGTGTGATCGGGTTAGGACAGATTCTTCAATGCTTTCTAGGCGCGGGAAGAGGCGAGGCAAGGCGGGGGGAGGGGAAGAGGATATATCGATATATCGTATCCATGGACGAGTGAGGCCGGGCGACAAGCGGATCAAGCAGGCGACTCTTGAAACATCGCCACCCGTTCTGCCATGTGTGTGTTCGTTCTGCCATGTGTGTGTTCGTTCTGCCATGTGTGTGTTCGTTCTGCCATGTGTGTATTCATGCCCTTTGCTTTATCGATCCAAGAGCCATCGTGGGTCGGTCTGCTTCGCACTCATGACTGACGCGTCAGCACTTCCATCTGGGTCCGATTTTTGAGGCTGTTAGATTGTCCGCTTTTGAGTCGACTCAAAAGCAGACGCATGTTATGTCCTATAGCAGGTTGTAGGGTGCCTTGGAAGATTCATTGGCACGCATGTGCTCATCTCCCCCTTCCCCCACTCCTGCCGGACCAGAGTCGGCTGCTGATTCACGAGATCAGGGCGAACCACGAGGCCCGGCTGTTACATTGGCTTCTGTATCGAGAGACGACTACGCTCATACCTCCCGTTCCGCTTCCCGCTCCCCCCTCCCCCACGAACAGGTGCAAGGCCTGCTGGACCAGAACCCGCTGCTGATACACGAGATCAAGGCGAACCACGAGGCGAGGCAGCTGAGTTGGCTTCTGTGCAGACCGACCTACGATGTCGTATTGAGTGTCAACTGCTGCTCATCCCTCCCGTTTCCCGCTCCCCAACACACAGGTGCAAGGCCTGCTGGACCAGAACCGGCTGTTGATTCACGAGATCAAGGCTAACCACGAGGCGAGGCTACCAGATTGGCTTCTGTGCGCTGCATTGAGAGACGAATGCTCGTCCCTCCCCTCCCCTCCCCTCCCCTCCCCTCCCCTCCCCTCCCCTCCCCTCCCCTCCCCTCCCCTTCCCTCCCTCCCCTCCCCTCCCCTCCCCTCCCCTCCCCTCCCCTCCCCTCCCCTCCCCTCCCCCACGTGCAGGTGCAAGGCCTGCTGGACCAGAACCGGCTGCTGATTCACGAGATCAAGGCGAACCACGAGGCGCGGCTACCGGATGGGCTCATGCGCAACGTGACCCTTATCAGAGAGCTCAACTCCAACGTCACCAAGGTGGGGATGTTACTTTCTTTACCATGGTATAAATGTGCTTGTGTGTGTGAATCAAACTGTATCATTCTTTGCAAATACCAGATGGGCTCATGCGCAACGTGACGCTCATCAGAGAGCTCAACCCGAATGTCACCAAGGTGGGGATTTGGTGCAAAGGTAGAGATTTTTCGGCCCCCAAGGTAGAAGTGGGTGTATGTGTTGAAGTGTAACACGACCCGGCTGCCGGATGGGCTCATGCGCAACTTCAGTTGAGATGCCGGATGACCCTCATCAGGCATCAATGTCACCAGAGTAGGGATTGAACTGGTAACCCGCATTGAACTCTGCCTCGTGTGTAAGGTATAGTTTGATTGAGTAGGAACTCTTACGGCACGCCCTGATTGGTTGCTAGGGCTGAGTGAGTACTCTGTCGCAAATTCCTTCCCTTTGTGCTCGTCCCTTGCCGTGCTTCCATCCGTCTCCCCTCCCCAATGCACCATAGGCTGTACGCTGAGATATTTGAGTGTAGTCTCTTTTGAGATTCCAATGCAAATGTGAACTCACTGTGCGAAATTTTAGTCACTTTTGTAGAGGCTGGCTGATATCAGAGTCTCTTGTCAAAAGTGACTGCAGTATCAGCTAGGACCTCCGGCAGATCTACAGTAGCTCGCCGTGAGTGCGTTTTCGAAATGTCTTCCCTTCACACTCTGCCCCCCTCCCCCCATATTCGTCCTGCAGGTGGTGGATATTCGTCCTGCAGGTGGTGGATATTCGTCCTCCCCCCATATATGCTGACATCTCTCACTCATTCCCGCGCACCTTTGGCATATCCACTGCTGCTCCTCATGAGTGCTTTCTCACATATCACTTCCCTGCTCGCTCCACCTGCTGCTCTGCCTTCTCCCTCCGTGCCCCGTCTGCAGGTGGTAGATCTCTCCCGCACATTCATGCGCACCTCTGGCAGCTCTTCTGTGCGCTCACTTACCCATCCGTCCCCCTCCCCCTCCTCCGACTCTCCCGCTCTGCCTTCCCCCCTCTCTTGTGCACCCCTTGCAGGTGGTCGATCTCTATGCTGACATCCCCCGCACATTCGTGCGCACCTTTGGCAGCTCAGCGGCATCGCGTTATGTGCGCTCACTTACAGATCCGTTCCCCCTTCCCCGTGTTGTCCCTCCCACCCACCCACTCTGCCTTCTCCGTCCCGTGTGTGTGCACCCCCCACAGGTGGTCGATCTCTACGCTCACATCTTCAGCACCTTCGTGCGCACCTTTGGCAGCGTAACTGCTCCTCATGTGCTCTCACTTACAGCTTCGTTCCCCCTTTCCCCCCTCTGTCCTACCGCTCTGATTCTTCGCCCCCCACCTTCCCCCCCTCCCTCCTCCCCTCCTTCCCCCCCCCCCCCCCCCTCCCCCGTGCCTCTTCTGCAGGTCGTAGACCTGTACGCTGACATCTCCCGCACCTTCGTGCGCACCTTTGGCAGCTCTGCAGCTGCCCGCGCCTCTCCTGGCGCTGCTGGGGGGGATGCTGCTGCTGCCGGGGCTGTGGGGGGCGACAGTGACGGCTAGGTGGAGGGGTGGATGCGTGTGGTTTGTGGCACTGCCCCTGCTGACGCTGCTGCTGATGCAGATGCCGCTGCTGCTAGTGGGGCTGTGGGGGGCGACAGTGACGGCTAGGTGGAGGGTTAGACGTGCAAGTAGCTGTGGTCGTGTCTCGCTCTTGGACCTTTGGCAGCTCTGCTGCAGCCCACCCCCCTGCTGGCCTGGCGCTGCTGGGAGGGCTGCAGGTGCCGACAGATGGAGGGGTAGACGTGCATGTGGTGGTGTCACTGCAGCCTGCCCCCCTGCTGATGATGCGGCTGCTGGGGGGGATGCTGCTGCTGGGATTGATGCTGCTGCTGGGGGGACGCAGGCGCTGACAGTGACAGCTAGGCGGAGGGGTAGACGTGTGGTGATGTGACGGCTAGTTGTCCCATTCCTCACGACCTTCTGCAGCTCCACTGCAGTCCGTCCCTCTGCTGCCGCTGTTGATGCTAGAGGGGCTGCAGGCGGCAGCAGTGACGTGAGACGGCTAGCAGGACCTGTAGACGTGCTCGCGACTAGGTCATGCCTCGGCCTTTCTTTTATTGTCTCAACCACGGCCCACTATTGAAGTCGCATTTGAGGATCCTCTAACAAGGTTCAACCACGACCCTCTCCCCCCTTGCTGCTGCTGTTGGAGCCAAATACGGCTAGTTGGAGGCGCAGCGCTACATGTGGCTGTGACTCTCTGGGATATGTCTCAGGACCTTTATGAGCTCTGCCGCAACCTGCCAATCTGCTGTCGCTCTTGCTGGGGGAGTGCAGGTTCCATCAGTGACGGCTAGTTGCAGGGGTGGACGTGCATGTGACCTTTGGTAGCTCTACCGGAGCCCGCCCCCTGCTGCTGCTGGGGCGGATGCTGCTGCTGCTGCTGCTGCTGGGGGAGTGCAGGTTCCAATAGTGACGGCTAGTTGCAGGGGAGATGCGCATGTAGCTGTGCCTCTCGGACGTACGGCATCTCAGGACCTTTAGGAGCTCTGCTGCAGCCTGCTCCTCTGGTGCTGATGTGCCTGGCGTTGCTGTTAAAGTGCGCGGCTCCCATTGGCGAGGGGATGAGGTGCTGCTGCTAGATTGAGCAGTTGCCGTAGGTGAGGGGTGAGATGGTGCTGTGTTGACCGGATGGCGAACATCATTGGTTGGTTGGAGTTGCTGGTAGACCTGGGGCGTGGAGAAGCAGCACTGACTGACCTGTACCGTACGTAACGCATGGCGCAGCACAGCTTGTAAACTTGGAATCATGTACTGTAATTCTGGGTGTAGCAGTTTTCAGGCAGAATGCAGTTACCTGGTGTTTTTGTGAGCTATGTGATTGATTTAAGGGGAGGGCAGGTGAGAAATAAGCACCCGCTTGGCCATGAGTGCGTGAGGTGCATGTTGTATGGTCTTTCTTTTTGTTCCTGTAGTTTGCAAGTACATTTATCCATGCAATCTGTGCTGATACACTGAAAGTACATATTCCGTTTTTTGTTGGACGAATACAGACTGTATTGAACCCTCTAATAGAACCATCGCTTGTACACCAAACACGTCACTTGGAAATGCCGTACACAGAATTTTGTGTCGGGCCAGACCCGAAACCCCGTACCCTCTCCCCTCCTTCCTTATCCTCACTCTTCTTCCCTCCATTTCCGAAACAGCGCTTTATCATAACGTGCCGCTGCTCGAAGCGCGCCTCGGATTCCGTCGCGCGGTGACACGTGCCGTTGCCTCTCCGCCGTGTTCTTCGTTCACTTACCGCAATATTTATCTCGGCTGGTCGCATTAGTAGTCTTAGGCTACCGCAAGTCGACAATGGTGTGGTTTCAGTGCGAGGACTGCGGCGAGACGCTTAAGAAGCCCAAGCTCAACGCGCACTTCGGGCGATGCTCCGCTTACAAGGTCAGCGACGCGCCGTGTAAGATTTATAGCAACCGTCATGTTCTACGGAATAACAGGTTGTCCTTGAATCGCGTACTTGGCGTGCTCTGGCTCGGTTTCAGTACGACAACGGCCCTTGTCGCCCGCTTCCTCGTACAGTGTTAGTTTTCGGCTCTCCGAATCTCGCGTCGACACTCTCGTCGCCGTTTCTTTTGTAATTACCCCTTCTTCGTCTTCCCCCCCTTCCCTCTCCCTCCATCCCAACCCCCGCACCCCCAACCAACCCCCTTCCTCCTCCCTCCCCTCTTTCCCCATTCTCCATCCCCCCCTCCCCTCCCCCCCCCTTCCCCTCCTCCCCTGCTATCAGCTCGCGTGCATTGATTGCGGCGTGACGTTTGATCGGCGCTCGGTACAGTCACACACGACGTGCATGACCGAAATGGTACAGTAATCACGCCATTATAGTCACATGCGAGAAAACTCAGCCTTTTTTTGTTTTTTGTGATTAAAACCAGTAACTGAAATGGTACAGTACGTACTGCTCACTCTTTCCCTTCCATCCCCCCCCTCGTTCGAACTCGCCGCCAAACCTAATCCCCCATCCTCCCCTTCCTCCCTCTCTCGTCCACACTCGCCCCGCTCTCACAATGCTAACGCAGCGAACCCCAAGGGTGGGGATGGGGGGAGTGGGGGAGGCCGCTGGCAGGGGGATGGGGAGGGGCTGCTACGGCAGCATGATGTATCCGTGCCCTAAACCCCACTCTCTCCTTCCCCCGTTTCCCTCTCTCCCCCCCTCTACCCCTCTTCCCCCACCAGGAGAAGTTCGGGCCCAAGGGGGCCAATGCAGCGAACCCCAGTGCAGGGGGGAGGCCGCCAGCAGGGGGGAAGGGGAAGGGCGGGGGGGCAGCAGCGGAGGGGGGCGATGAATTTGACTACCACATGGGGCTGTCGACCCGACCCCCCTGGTACTGCAGGTGTGTGTGTATGGTGCTTTGTAGTTGGGGGAGGGGGTAGGGAATGGGTGGGGTGGAGTAGCAGGAAGAGAGGCAGGAAGGGCAGCAGGGCAGGCAGCAGCAGGGGCAGCAGGAGGGGGGCGATGGGTTTGAGTATCACATGGGGCTGTCGACTCGCCCCCCCTGGTACTGCAGGTATGTGTGCTGCTTCCAATACCCCATGGGCGTGCATGTATGGTGCTACCTGCAGGGCATATCGCATGGCATGCATGCGGCTAGTGCTCTCTTTAGGGGAGGGGGAAGGGGAGAAGTGGGGAAGCAGGAGAGATGGGGCTGTTGACACGTCCCCTGGTATTGCAGGTGTGGTGGCCTCAATACCCCATGGCCGTGCATGTATGGTGCTACCTCTAGGGCACATACCATGCATGGCGGCTAGTGCTCTCTTTAGGGGAGGGGTAAGGGGGGAACTGGGGGAACTAGGCGGGATCTAACTTGTCGAATCGCAATACAAGGGGGGTCTAGCTAGACAGCAGGAGGCTGGAGACTCAGCGGGGAAGAAGCACCAGCCATGGGGGGGAAGAAGCACCAGCCATGGGGGGGAAGAAGCACCAGCCATGGGGGGGAAGAAGCACCAGCCATGGGGGGGAAGAAGCACCAGCCATGGGGGGGAAGAAGCACCAGCCATGGGGGGGAAGAAGCACCAGCCATGGGGGGGAAGAAGCACCAGCCATGGGGGGAAAGTCACCCTTCTCTTCCCGTTCCCTGTTTCCCTGCTCCCCTCGTCCTGCTCCCTCATTCCTATGCTTTTCCCCTGCTCTCCTCTTTCCGTGCAGCCTTTGCAAGGTGAGCGCCACAAGCAATGCGACTCTAGAGAGCCACAGCCACTTAGAGGGGCGGAAGGACCACAGAGAAAGTGACCCCCCTCTTCCCTTCCCCAGTTCCCCTGCGTCCTCTGCTCATCCCCCCACTTCCCCCGTTACTTGCAGTCTGTGCATAGTGAGCGCCACGAGCAAGGGGCACTGGAGAATCACACTGAGAGAAAGTGAGGGGAGCGACCAGGGCCGCTCTGGAGGCGACTTGAGGCGACTAACAGGAACTCACGTGTGTGTAAGCGTACCTCTCTGTTCTCCCCCTCTTTCTGTGCAGCCTGCGCTAGGTGAGCGCTACTGGCAAGGAGACACTGAAGAGCTTTTTAAAGGGTAGGATGCACCACGGCATGTTCACCCCTCGCTTCCCTTCCTTCCCTTCCTCCTGCGCCCCCCGTCCCCGCTCTTTCCCCCTCCCCCTTTTCTGTGCAGTCTTTGCAAGGTGAACGCTACTAGCAAGGAGACATTAGAGAGCCACTCAGAGGGGAAGAAGCACCGCGGGAAAGTGAGGGGTGCGACCAGGGCTGCTGTGGAGGCGACTAAGGGACAGGATGATGCCTCTAGGGCCGCTGAAGAGGCTGGAAACGGTGCAGTAGCTGACAGTGCGGTGCAGAGTGGTGCGGATGGTGCTGCCAGTGGGAAGGCGAATGGGGCTCCTGCTGTTGCAGCGAATGGGGCAGTGACAGGTGGACAAGAGAATAGGGCAGCGACAAGTGGACAAGAGAATGGGCAGGAGGAGGCGAAAAGTGGTGGGGAGGAGGAGGGAGAGGGAGGAGCAGAGGTGCAGGGAGGGGAGGAGGGGAAAAAGAGGAAGAAGAAGGGAGAGAAGGAAGAGAAGGGAACAAAGAGGAAAAAACGGACAGAAGGGAGAAGCGAGGAGGAAACTGCTAGAAAGGAGGAAGAGCAGGAAGCAGTTGAGGCAAAGAGCAAGACAAAGAAGATGAAGAAAAAGAAAGAGAAAGGCGAGGCTGATGCAGCAGAGCCTCCTGAAGGAGGTGCTGGAATCCCGTGGAAGAAGCTCATTCGGCAGCAGCTCAAAGCGGTGAGTGCAGTGTGGTGTGCAGTTGTGAAGAAGGGTGCTGAGGTGCAGAGAGGCAGAGGAGAAAGGCGCAGCTGGTGCGGAGACTTCTGAGGGAGCTGCGGTGGTGCCGTGGAGGAAGCTCATTCGTTAGCAGCTCAGCAGTGCAGTGTGGTGTGGTGTGGTGTGGTGTGGTGCATGCACCCTGTTGCCAAAACGTTGGTGCGGAGTCATTGGAGGGAAGAATGTGCTGGGGTTCAGTGGAAGAGGCTCATCTGGCAGCAGCTCAAGGCAGTGAGTGCAGTGTGGAGCGACATGTGCTCAAGGCAGTGAGTGCAGTGTGGAGCGACATGTGCTCAAGGCAGTGAGTGCAGTGTGGAGCGACATGTGCTCAAGGCAGTGAGTGCAGTGTGGAGCGACATGTGCTCAAGGCAGTGAGTGCAGTGTGGAGCGACATGTGCTCAAGGCAGTGAGTGCAGTGTGGAGCGACATGTGCTCAAGGCAGTGAGTGCAGTGTGGAGCGACATGTGCTCAAGGCAGTGAATGCAGTGTGGAGCGACATGTGCTCAAGGCAGTGAGTGCAGTGTGGAGCGACATGTGCTCAAGGCGGTGAGTGCAGTGTGGAGCGACATGTGCTCGAGGCGGTGAGTGCAGTGTGGAGCGATATGCTGCTACCCGTTGCAAACGGTTGGAAAGGTGGAGAGGTGCAGAGGTGCAGAGGTGCAGAGGTGCAGAGGTGCAGAGGTGGAGTGGAGAGGTGGAGAGGTGCAGAGGTGGAGAGGTGGAGTGGAGAGGTGGAGAGGTGCAGAGGTGGAGAGGTGGAGTGGAGAGGTGCATAAATGCAGAGGTGGAGAGGTGGAGAGGAGGAGAGGTGGAGAGGTGGAGAGGAGGAGAGGTGGAGAGGTGGAGAGGAGGAGAGGTGGAGAGGTGCAGAGGTGGCGAGGTGGGGAGGTGGAGAGGTGGCGAGGTGGGGAGGTGGAGAGGTGGAATCTGTTTTCCGTAATTCTTTCTACTCTTCAACTTCTCAAAGTGTCACGCCTTGGGGGTGTGTGCCACGTGTTTAACTGGCCGTGACACAACGTGCTACTTCCCCCATAATCTGCAGAGATGGATATCTTTTTCCTTTAATGCTTGCTTCCCCCGTGACCTGCTGTGCTGTGCGTTTTGAGGCGCCTCAAAACTCGCTCATGCCACTCTGCCTAAACATAATCACCTAGAATCTCATGCTTTGGTTGTGTTTTTGTTGTCGAGTTGATGTGCTCTTGAACGCCTGTTCTCTCCAACCAGGCACCCAGCCATGAGCTGCCACTCAAGGCACTAAGAAAGCAGGTGCTCGCAGCAGCCAAGCGAGTGCTGGCAGAGCAGAGCTCAAAGGAAAGCGCCAAGGACAGCTGCAAGCAGGGAGCAGGCAAGGGAACGGAGAGCAGCAGCAAGGGAAGGGAGAGCAGCAGCAAGGGAAGGGAGAGCTGCAGCAAGGAGGAGCTGCTGGCTGCCTTCCAACGCTCTGTGAGCTCCCTGCTCTCACGCTCCCTCTACCTCCCTCTTGATCTCTCTATACCCACTCTTCCACCCTCTCTTCACACTCTCTCCCACGCTCTTGACCTCTCTACATGCATTTTCCAACCCTCTTGGCCTCTGCACTCACTCTCCCACCCTCTTGACCTCTCCATTCGGTCTCCCCCTCTTGACCTCTCCACACTCACTCTCCTCCCCTTTTTTACCTCTCCACACCCATTCTCCCTCTCTCGCTTGACCTCTCCACTCATCCTCCCCCTTCCCCCTCTTGACCTCTTCACGCGCATGCTTCCATGCTTCCTCTCTCTTGACCTCTCCACACTAATTCTCCCTCTTGACCTCTCCACACTCAATCTTATCTCTCTTGACCTCTCCACACTCAATCTCATCTCTCTTGACCTCTCCACACTCAATCTCATCTCTCTTGACCTCTCTGCACTTATTCTCTATCTTGCAGCTGGAGAAGTGCAAGGCAGTCATTGTTGAAGATGTTACAGTGAAGTTCAACATTTAAAACCAGAGTCTCAAGATAGTTTGATTTCATTTGCGAAACGGTTGAAGCTTAGCTACCCCATTTGTGTGATCAAAGTGTTTGGTTGGTTGGTTTGGAAGTACCGTATTACCCCGGATAGAAGCGCACCTGCGGTTATAATAAAGCAGAGTTTTTTAAGGGGGTGCGCTTCTAATTGAGTAATTTTTATAAGCGCATGCGCTTATATAATGACAGATACAGATATATAATTTTATAGCACCAAAATGTACATCTCAGTCGTACCATTCTGTAAGGAATTTTCTCGGCATTCCTTACGGAGCCGACTACATCGCCTACAGCAACAGCCGTTGTTCGCCCGTTACTGCTAACGGGACTTCGCTGACTTCGCGCGCACTGCTTTGCCAAACCTCGCACTGCTGGCATGGCCGTATCGGCCTACGCTTCGGTCGGGACTAGCCCGAGCCTCGCTCCAGCGTAGCACTAGCAAGCTCGCACGCACCGCGTTACCGTTTTGCATGTTTCGCGTATAAATGTTCGCTCATGCCTTCGCTCACGTTTTGTACTCGTTTTGACACCTTAGTGCAATTCTCGCTACTTCGATTCATTGCACCCGTAACACTTGGTTATCAGAGCCCCTTTCTTTCGGACCGCGCATCTCCGCACACCAGGAAATCAACTTTTGATTTTTCACTCGAAGGGACTCACGCACCTTAGCCCCTAGGAGCCGCTGTCCTCGCGTTCTCTCGTAAACGCGTGCAGCCACGACTGCGCCTAGACTAAGACGAGCCGACGCCCTTCGTCATGGCTGAGAATATCGACGTCACCACCCTCACGCAGGAGCGTTTGAACGATCTGCTGCGACAGCTGCGCGAAAGTTCCGAGGAAATCGCGGCATTGACGGCAGAACGCTCATCGCTGCAAAATGACCTCACGAGGGCACAACAAGCACAATCTCAAGCACCTGGCACTCCGATTCAACCTGCACCCTCGACATCACAACACGGGAGTGTGGGGCAACCCGCGAGCGCGGCCAGTGATGGCGTCGTCCGCCCCGACGGGGACGATGACCATGGCACGACACACCCCGGAGCGACGCATGCGGCCCCAAGTCAGCCTCGCGTCACGATTTCGGCACCAACCCACGATTCGGGACTGCCGTCACCGAGGCCGCTGAAGCCGCAGCGCCCGCCATGTTTTGACCCGAGTCAACGGGGTGGTCCTACCGTTCAGGCGTGGTTGTTCACGATGAATGTCTTCTTCGACGCCAACTACGTCTCGGAGGACTCGGCGAAGATTCGATACGCCGTGTCGCTGTTGCGAGGACCCGCCATGGACTGGTGGCGCGTCATCGCCACGAAGCCGACAGACTACGCGACACTACCGACACGGGAAGGACAAACCGGACCCTGGGCGCCGTCGTATTTCGTGGAGATGCCCCAGTATCGCACGTGGGATGCGTGGTGCGCAGGTCTGCGCGCTCGATTTGAGCCAATTGCGGCTTCGATCGCGGCGCGACAGAAGCTCCGCACTTGGCGCCAACTCGGTTCCGTCCAGGACTACACGAGCGGATTTCTGGCGCTATGCGAACAGGTGGGCTACATGCATGAGAGCGAGCGCATCGACCGCTACATCGGCGGCCTGAAGCAGGACATCGCTCAGGAAATCCAGCTTCGCGGCGTCACCGAATTTCAGGAAATTCTCGCTATGGCGGAGAAGCTCGACTTCTTTCGCCGACCGAGACCGGGGTCCTACGGAAACAACAACTGGGGACATCGGCCTCGTGGGACGAACGAGAGCGCCACGATACGCGCCGTCGCCGCAAATGCCGCTGCCGCACCGTTCAAAGGGCGCTGTTTTGCGTGCAATCGGCCGGGACATCGCAAGAGCGAATGCCCGGAAAACGCTAAGGGAAAGGGGGAAGCTGAGCAGCAGACACAGACCAAGCAGCAGGGAAACGCTGGAAGTCAGTAGCAGACGGGCCCTCTACTGACAGGTCACGCCGCTCGCCCGACCCAACCGACCCTCACCGAGTGATTGTGCCGGTTCACGCAATCGACCACACCCGGCCGAATAAGGAGGGTACCACGGTAGACAGCCCTATACTGCTCAGTGGGAAAATTGGGACGGACTTAGCTAAAATCTTCGTAGATGGGGGAGCCAGCCACAGCCTCATTAACACTGCTACGGCACGAAAACTGCGACTGCCACTGGACAGATGCTTACCTGAGATCGACGCACGACTGGTAGACGGCACGCCACTGGCAATACGGGAACGCGTAGACCGAGTTCGGATTCGATGTGGGGGTAACTTCACATTCAGCCAGGAAATGCTCACAACGACCCTCGACGGAACCGACATTTTACTCGGGCGTGATTGGCTGCGACGACACAATCCGCGAATCGACTGGACGACGGGTGACTGCACCGTGCGAGTGAACGGTAACAACATCGCCTTACCTCGCTGGGGATCGCCTGAGTCTTCGTCGGTGCGTGTCAATGCGATCACGATGAAACGCGCTGTAGCGGCCGGAGCTGACGTGTACGCGGTTGACATTCGGGAAGCCAAGGCAGCAGACAAGGGAGGGGATTTACAGAAACTGCTGACCGACGTACCGAGTGATCTGGCAGCACTGTTAACACGATACAGTGACATTTTCCCGGATGACTTACCGACGGGACTGCCACCTCAGCGACCGCACGATCACAGGATAGAACTGGAACCGGGGGCACAGCCAACAGTACAGCGACAGTTCCGACTGACCCAACCCGAACTAGACGAACTAAGGAAGCAGCTCGATTACCTGCTCGAGAAAGAATTCATTCGCCCTAGCTCGTCGCCCTTCGCCGCACCAATACTGTTCACACCGAAAAAGGACGGGGGATTTCGCATGTGCATAGACTACAGAGCACTGAACAGGGTTACCATCAAATCTCGTTACCCCATCCCACGAGCTGACGAACTGATCGACCAACTGCGCATAGCCCGGGTTTTCTCGAAAATTGACCTCCGGGGAGGCTACCACCAAATCCGCGTCAACCCACCCGACTGTCCTAAAACCGCATTCCGAACACGCTACGGATCTTTCGAATACACTGTCATGCCATTTGGGCTGACCAACGCCCCCGCCACTTTCCAAATGACCATGAACGAAGCATTCCGCCCACTTTTAGATAAGTGCGTCATCGTTTATCTGGACGACATACTGATTTACAGCCCTGACAGAGCACAGCACTTACTGTCAGAACATATAGCTTACTTGTTTCTGTAGGCTATAGTGGGGTATCCCATAGGGGGTACAACACAATTAGGGTTTCCTATTTGTATCCTCTTCACTTCATAGTCATTCATTCTCGTTCACACTTTCTCATGGAATCAGAGCAGGTCCCTTCTTAGGGCCTGTTCCTAGGGCCCACCGAAGCGCGCCCCGAGGCGCGCATTTTTTTTAGCGACCCTCCGTGTCGCCCTCCCCTTAGGCCCCTCGTCGGCCCCGCCTAGGCCCCTCGTCGGCCCCGCGTAGCCCCCCGTCGGCCCCACTTAGGCCCCGCGTCGGCCCCACCTAGACCCCGTCGGCTCCTCGTCGGCCCCGCCTAGGCCCCACGTCGGCCCCGCGTAACCCCCCGTCGGCCCCGCTTAGGCCCCACGTCGGCCCCGCGTAGCCCCGCTTAGGCCCGTCGGCCCCGCTTAGGCCCCGCTTTGGCCCCGCGTCGGCCCCGCCTAGACCCCGTCGGCCCCGCGTTGGCCCTGCTTAGGCCCCGTCGGCCCCGCTTAGGCCCCGCCGGCTTGCCACCGGCCCCACTACGGCCTGCCACCGGCCCCTGCTACAGCCCGCCGCCGGCCCAGCTACAGCCCGCCCCCGGCCCAGCTACAGCCCGCCGCCGGCCCAGCTACAGCCCGCCGCCGGCCCAGCTACAGCCCGCCGCCGGCCCCGCTACAGCCCGCCACCGGCCCCTGCTACAGCCCGCCGCCGGCCCAGCTACAGCCCGCCCCGGCCCCGCTACAGCCCGCCGTCGGCCCGCCGTCGGCCCCGCTACAGCCCTCCCCGCGGCCCCTGCTGCAGCCCGCCGTGCTGCACGTGAGCAGCCCCAGCAGCCCGCGCCGCCCGTGAGCCCCTACGCCACCCGAGCCGCGCGAGCCGCCCGAGCCGCCCGAGCCGCCCGAGCCGCCCGAGCCGCCCGAGCCGCCCGAGCCGCCCGAGCCGCCCGAGCCGCCCGAGCCGCCTGAGGAGCCGTGCTGCTGTTCCTGAGCTGTGTTCCTCTGCTGCTGACCTACCCGACTCTCCCAGCCCGGTGAGACTTTCAGCTGCTGCCATGGCCACCCCCAATGTTCTTACTTTTGACGCTGAGGGGAGGGCCATTGACTTTGCCGTCTGGATTGAAGACCTGCAGCTGTACTTACTGTGTGATGCGATAGATGAGGTCTCTCTCTTTGACTTTGTCTCTGGCGCTGTCCCTTCCCCACCTGCTGATGCTGACTCTGCCGTTCGCTCCAAGTGGGCGA